CCTGACACCAGACCCTCCCCTAGACTTGGGTAATAGTTTTTATTAGTACTTTTTTAATTAGAAATTGATTTGAATTCCAAATGTAACTTAACTTATATAAATTTCAACAAATGCTTAATGCCTAAGTAATATTGACAATTCAAATTTGGAAATTAATTTTGAAAAACAAAGTTTATCAACAAAAATTTCCAAAATTTTAAATGAAGTGGAATTTCAGTCAGATAGAATTAACACATTTAGTTATATACATTTCATGAAAATGTTGGTGCCTTTTTTTTTTTCTCAGAAAAACCTTAGGACCCGCTATGCTGCGGAGGTTTTAATAAAGATACCATAAGGTGACTGTATTAATTATCCTTTTACTGTGTTTTTAATAAATTTTTTATTTAAATACTATAGTGTTAAATTTATTTACTAAATTGTTGTTATTTTTATGAATATATTTAGTGTAAAAATATTTTTTAAAATGCTTTCTCAATGTAAGAAAAATATTGAAATGTGTTTTCAAAATATATTTGTATGGTAAAATATTTAAAACTACAATATTTTGATACAAAAATTTCAAAATTACCTTATATCGATATGTGATCGTATATGCACATACACATGACTCATATATTAAAATACATTTATTAATCAATCAAATGTTCTTTTATTGTTTTGACCCAATTGCTTTTTGTTCAAAACAATGTTACTAAACGGCAAATAAATGAATAACATTTCGATGATATCAACCATCATCAAGTTCTCAGTTCTTATACAACATATTTGCTTATTTACATTTGAAATAGGGCACTTATGTACCCACAAAACTAAATGGGCAAAAGGGTCTTAACTTTTTTGATTAATTGTTGACTTCAATTAATAGCATAAGATTAAAGTATTAAATCTCTCGACATTTAAATATTTGTTTAGTGGATGATCTGTTTGAATAAATGCCTCACTTAAACTCACGATAAGAGAATAACATTGAGAAAATTGATTGTATCTACCACGAGAGAGGATCCTAATCTTGTTATCATGATCTTAGAACTTGTCTTCTCTTGCTATTAAATATATGGTAACATATTTAACTAAGTTCTAATGGTTTAATTATAGTCAATGTATCTTTATTATACCTTCCAAATCAGGGCCTTTGAAGCTATTGTGTACGATTAGCCAATCTTATAGCGGCAAAACACTTAAACATCCTCTTTGTAACGGTTTTCTATTCAAAATCGATGTCACATTAAATTAGAGAGATGGACGATCATAATTTTTCGGCATCCCAAAACGTGCTGCCCTCTTGGGCACACAACACTAAGTAGTCAACCCACATTAACCGATTAAGTAATTACTAGAGGCTCTAACTTTATGATGTGGTTTCAACTCAAACTTTGTAGGTTGATTTAAATAAAAAGAGACATGGTATCTCATTCCCAAGCTAGTTTCCTTTTATATCTCTTCAAAATTTTAATATTACTTTCATTGGATAAACTTTCATTCTGTGGGGTTTCTTCATCTATTTGGAGAGAACAATGTATGAGGATCATATGCTTCAGCAGTTGAAGTAATAGAGATTATGCTTTTTGCCTGGTTCACAAGAAAGAGAATCATGTGACGACCTTACATCAAAAAGAACCAATACAAAGGTATAAAGTTAGGATTGTGACAATATTGTGTTCCTAAATAGATTTGACAAATTTTGACCCAATCCGATTTCGATAAATTAGTGGACTCTCAAACCTAATAAAATACGATATGGACTCCATTATACGCTATCATAAACAAGGATTACTGTATTAACAAGCTTAGTCCTTAGGGTGTGTTTGGATGACAGAGTTAGACCAGATTGGAGATCTAAAAAAAAAAAAAATTCCTCATCCAACCCAAACTCTCTTCTCATTGGACTTGTTAGGATTTAACAAGTATATTCTATTATTTTCAGTATTTAGATATCAAATAAGCACTTTTGTGGGACCTATGGAGAAGGGTGATGAAATATGGTATCATTGACGATTTTATCCCTAACCTATCCAATCTAATACCATATTTAGTTTATAAATTTGCTTTTGACCAATTCCAAATAAATTTTTCTTACATATAATTTTTTAAAACATTGTAATTTCATATCCTCTAGACTGGTGTTCATATGTTACGAGGACTATTGAGAATTAACTCAAACTCTCATTAATTAATTATTTAATTATTAATTATTAATTAATCTTAGTCTAAATAGGATATTCAATAAAAAAATTTATTTACTTCTAAAACAACTCATATGATACTATGTGAAGAAATAAAAAAGATTATAAAATATTTATTTTCTGGTTATAATTTCAGTGAATTAGATTATTCATATCTAACTTTAATCTGTCCACTTTATTATTTGTGTTAATTGATTGTGTTATTTTTTATTTTTGTGTATCGTGTTTGTGTCCATACATAAAATTGATATCCTTAATAACGTGGACAAAAAATACAAAAATTAGGGAAAAGTGAAACTTTATATATATATAGTGCCCACTAGAACCACATTAGGTTCAATAAGCCATGAGATGACAAAAGAAAGAATTAGTGGTGGGGGGGGGGAAAAACCAAGTTGATTGGATACCGTATCATTTTTTTTTGTTTGGGTGAATCTCCACCGTCCACCACAAATATCAATCTCAAGGGGACCCATTTTGAACCATTTGATTGGTGGTTGACGTTACCTTCCTCTCCCACTTTCATAGTCGTCGCCGCCTTCAGCAACCCCATCGTAGTGCCAACTTCTTGTAGCGTAAATTACAATGACAACCCTTATAATTTTGATATTTTTATTGCACCCTTTGTTATTCTAAATATTACACCAACCCCCTTATAAACGTTGTCAATTGGCAGAAGTTACATGTTTACAACTTTTACCCTCATAAATTTCCAATTTTCCTCCTCACATAGCCCAATGGTGAAATATTGGTTATCTCATTTAAGGGCAAAATTGAGTTCATGCTATGCAATTTGTCTACATCAGTAACAAAAAACCAGTTTGTCTCTAGAAAGCCAGTTAGATGGTGGTGGAATTTGTAATACAAAGTCGCATAACAAGGGAAGTTAATGTTGTTTCAAAAATTAGAAGAGGATCAGTGAAAATATTAGAAACTAAGAGGGTGAAACTGTAATTTTTCCCTTTTAATAATACGAATATTTTCCTGGGGTACAAAGTGATGGGGCAAATCGATTTAATTTTTGTATTGAATTTTCTGTTTGTCTACTTTTTTGTATTGGCAGTAGTAATCAGAGTTGTAAATTCAAATATTTGGAGTTGGAATCTTGATAACTCTTTAGAGACAGGTTATAAGAAATTTATTTCTCATGAATATACTAATCTCAACATGGATAACTTATTTTAAATTGAATCGACAAAAAAATTAGTCGAAATGCACATAAATTATTCTAACTCACACCATTTAAAAAAATAAAAAACTTTTTTTTGAGTGGGATTGATAGAAAGAGGTGTGGACCCTGGCATCTTCATGATTGATTATGATTACATGTTAGCATTATTGTCGTGATGACGCTCTATCAAATACTAGGAAAATGCCCAAAAACCTCTTTTTTATGGGGCTTTGTTTACTTTCAAAACAAAATGGGACTTTGTTCCTTGAGGTAAATGATATAAAAGTGATCTTTATTTTTGTAAGTATGTCAAAAGTAACATTGCAAAAATATTTATTATGATTTTTTTATAGAGGATTATCTTCCTTGTTAATTTTTTTAATATAATTATGACGTAAATTTCAAATATATATAATCATAAATATATTTTATGATCAATCTTAGACATTCCTTAATCAATTATAATTTTACATGTAAAAAAATGTAACTTCACGTCAAAGCGATTTAAATTTTGGCACACGAGTGACCCTTCTTTGTAATTTGCATCACACTGTTCTTCTGTTCCCCACTTTTGGGAGCTGTACATTCAAAGCTTGAATAATTTGAACTAATAAATGTGGTGTACATAATGCCCAGAGAGCTGACTTAGCTTGAGAAGAGCAATGATTCTAGTTCTACCATTGTGGGGGAGGGAGAGGATTGTCTAATTCTGGTGCAGTCATAATAATTGTCAGAGGACCAACTGAAAAGAAAATCAAACACTATAAATGGTTCACCAGACTCTTTCCTATTAAAAAAAGTATATTTTTTAAAATAAAAAGTTTTTTATTTTATTTATTGGGCTTGTTTTGAAAGATTGAAAACATCAGCCTTTTTTGGTTTCGGAAAAAAAAATTCTGTTCGTTTGAACTCAGCTCGGCTTGTTGGGCAGCTTTTTCTTTCAGTTTTTTTTAGCAAAAACAAATTTTTTATTAATACCAAAAAATAATTAAAAAATGAGACTTATCCAAAAAATTCCAAAGAAAAGTTGCTTTTTTCGAAAATAATCCATACGGTTCCAATAACTTTTTTAACTTATTTTACTTTTCTAATCTCTTTTCACACCCAAAAAATCAGCTCCATACCTATTGTTTTATTTATGTCACAATTTTTACGACCAATAATTGTACACTCAAATGATGATTGATAGTTGATATTGACTTTTTCAATATGATACTGAAAAATAAACTTTCAATACCACTGATTACCCAAAAGTCTATCTCCATAATAGAACCACTATGAAATATGAGGTGCAGTGTCCCCAAACCTGCATCCTAGCTTGTGGTGAATTCTGTAATTTGGCCCAACTTAGAGAGAGACACCTTTAGCATTGGTATATTACCTTTTGGGTTCTTTATGGGGAGCAACCAGTGACTCCAAAGTCTAAGCCAACCTATTCACAATCTGAGTATTTGTCATGCTAATTACATGATTCATGTGGAACAGAGGATGTCCAGAAGAATTAGATGGATAGAAACTTGGACACCTCTTACTTAGCTGGGGAAAACAAATTCCTAAGAGAGAGATACAGAACACATTTCCAACAGCATTACCTGCCGATTTCGGGAAAAAATAAAAATAAAAACTAAAAGAGAGATATAGAACACATTTCCAACAGCATTACCTATCCCTTTCTTTTGAATATGGATAAGTAATCAAATGGGAAGGCAATCAATCAATAAATGGCTTTACAAATATGTTTTTGTTTAGCATCATCAAAGATTTCTAGTAATACATATACAACTGAAAACATATTGCCACTTCTGCTATTGATTTGGTTTATGTTAAAGAAGCATGCTCTTTCTTTTGTGAAAGAAAAAAAAGTTAAGGCTTAACATCCAAGAACAAAGGAAAACGAACCAGTCGCCCTTACTCATTTAGTTTGGCTTTCTTCCCAAAAACTCCAAAATGAAATCAAGGTAACGAAATTAGACCATTCGTCCCTCCACCCTTACCTTGACTTTCCTCTTTTACCATTTTTACCGAACTTTTTCCCCTTCTTAGGTGTGCCCTTCATATGAGAAATTCTACTTGCCTTCTTCTGCCTTTCCTTCCGAACTTGTTCAGGATTTTTAATCTCAGAACGCACATGAGCATTAGGTACCGAGTGATTCTTCTTTCCACCTCTGAACCTTCTATTATCCCTGTGCAATCCATGACCTCCTGCCAGAAGAAAATGATCAGGATAATAACAGATCCTGCCTCTTATGTTTTCGACATTGACCACGAGGGTTTTAAATCTCCCATTAGATGCAATAAACATAATTGAAAAAGCAATGGTAATAGGTGTAGCAGCCCAGGATCTTGACAATTGTACTTTTCTACTCTTGCAGCATTATCAATCACACTATAAAAAAATGTAGGTTAGCTTAAATATGTCTGGACCTTTTTCTGCTCAAGGCCTAATGCCGTCAAGCAGCTAACTCTATGCATGGATAAAGCAAGATTGCTTTACAATGACAGCGAGCAAAAACATCAAGTGAAACCTTCATGAGCACAAGAACAAGACTTGAAAGGTAGGACTAAAGAAAAATGTAGAGGCTAAGAGAACACACGTGATAAAACACTGACAGCAGTCACCAATGAAATATATTATGCTTATCACAATCGATCATTGAAGTGAAACAAGAAACTAATTACAATGAAAGAGAGAGATGGGGGGGGCCCGCCCGGGAGGGAGAGGAGAGAGATAATAAATTGACATACCATGTATGTTATAACAGTTGACCAAGCTTCAACAAATTATAAGAGAAATAAATTAGAATACAGGAGCTTTCGATCTCAAAGCATTTACCTGCCAAACTCGTAGATTCTTCAGTGTTGCCCAGGTTATTTGTCCCTTTAAGAGAGATTTTATTATGTGATCGCTCTTTCCACCTCTTATACATCCCAGTTTTGTTAGCTTTTACTTTTGCACCATTCTCTGTCTTTATCTGCACACCATTGAGAAATGAAGATCACCAAGTAATAACCAGCCTCCCAGCCAGTACAAGCAAAACAAACATATACTCTGCAGAGTAGGAAACTGCTTATCAATCCAAATCGAGTGCACAATTCATAATTAAAGGCTACAGTTATGTTAAACAGGGTATGAACACATATTAAGGTGTAAGGTAGTACATATCGCTTGATTATCAAAAGGTATAAGGTAACACACATATAGGACTGCTTTTCTTATTGTAAAGCTCTTATCATCTCGACAAGCAAAGAGGAATTTTTACCGAAGTTAACAAGGTAATTCTTTCTGAAGTTTAAAATTATAATTTGATGTAACTATTTTTTAAGGATTCAATGACATCTACTAAGAAACTGAAACCATCACGAACACAGTTACACAGCCCATAGGAAACTATACATGTTCCCCATTTTTGGTCAGAAAAAGTTTTAAGCAGGATCAGCTAAGGCATCTTGAAGGTTTCCAGACTGGAACTAAAGCAGTGATAGAAACTCAAAAATATAATGTTGTCTCGGTCAAAGGACATGCACAGTAATATATTACTAGCTGATATAGCATTAGAATGCCAAGTTCACTCTCACCCATGACACAATGTCAATCAGGAATTTTTATGGTACCAGTTTTACAGAAATGCTTAAGCAAAATAAAGTATTACGACTCAAGATTACAATTGAATGATGCAACAAGATAACAACAGTGGAAATGTGATTTTCCATCCCATAGGAATCCATAGTACATGAAATTCATGCCCACACATTTAAGAGATTTATACAACTACATGTAACAGCAAAGTGATGTTCCAGGAAAAAGCATAACGACAGTGGAAATGTTGATTTTCCATCCCATAGGAATCCATAGTACATGAAATCCATGCCCATACATTTAAGAGATTTATACAACTATATGTAACAGCAAAGTGATGTTCCAGGAAAAAGCATAACAGTTTATTTCTTTTCCAAGGTCATAAAGCAAGAAGAAGAAGAAGAGAAACCTATAGTGCCAATTTAGAGTAGCAACTTGAAACCAAATATAAACTTGGACAGGACAGGACAGGACAAGGAAGATGGGATGAGTATAACTTTTGACAAACTTAAGATATATTCCATTCAACAAGTAGCCACAACAAAATTTGGAAAATGTTTTGTTTCACATTTCAAATAAATTCAATACTATTAACAGAAAAAATGACATTTAAGAACTTTGTAAATTATGACTACGTAAATATCTGACAAGTGTAAGTTATAACTATATATGTCTTCTGACAACTGACTCGTGTCTGTTTGTTTTGTACTTTCATCCATGTGCCATATAGTTTCAATGATACCTCAATCCTTCATACACATGTCCAAACCACAACTCTTCAAGAAAATACCTTTCCACTAGCTGTCACACGCTCGCCATTGTTCAACTTGATGTATTTCTTACTCCTCTGCCACAAAAAAAGATTTACAGAGTGAAAAAGGGGGGAGTGTGAATAACAATAAATATCAATACCTCAATAGTCTAATGTACCTTATCCCAATGATACGAAGATTTATGTTTCTGCAATCCTCCGCTATCATCTGCAACTAGATCCAGAACAGCAGCTTCCAACCTATTTAATCAATCAATGTCAAAAGATGGCCCAAACACAGAAAGTGAGAAACATGATTCAGTCCATTAATCCAAATGATCTTGCAACATCCACTTTCGAATGCAAGTCTCCATACTCAAACATAAAAATAAAAAGATAAAGAAAATGTGCCTTATAATTAATAAACTCCACCATGCAGTTTAAAAGTAGTTAGCCACAAGCGGCATGGAAAGAAACAATACAGCTAGTATATCAAATATCAATTGACTACTTGGAATAGATTCAATTGCGCACAAACAAACATGCCTATGTATACATACATTATTTTTTTGATAATGTTGTATACACACACATCATGATATTGAATAAAAGCTCAGCCAATCTGTTCATGAATGGCAGAATAGTTACCGCCAAGTGTTTTACGGCTTAAAAAGGCCTGCTTCAGCCAGATTGGACAAAGTACCTTTCCCCATTTCAGCCTAATTTAAAACCCCAAAATACCAGAAAATCAATATGCTCCCTTATTTGTTCATATGTATCATACTGATATTATCCATACTATCCAATCAACATTAAGATTAAAATATATTCATCAAAAGTCAAAGATGGAATTAATACACTAAAAAATAGGTTGCTGTAAGCATCGGTGAACAAACTGTCTACATATAGAATTAAAACCCCTCTCCGCCCAATTTGCGTAAAATGAAAAGTGACCAGAAGAAAAAGAGATGTCAAACTGAATATCAGTCAATTTAGGTTTTGGTCACACCTCCTTAAATATTGCTTCTTTTGGAAATTGAGTTCAGGTTACCTAAACCAAATTGTAGAGTTGTCTGCCAGACAATCTGCAGACCCATTTTGAGGTATCTTTCTCTTTTTCATGTTTATTTATCTTTGAACATATGATAGAAACAACTGGACACATAAAGACCCAGATTCAATTTCCCATAGTTTCTTTATCTCACTCTTTTAGTCATTAAATTGACATGAAAAAATCTTCTAACAAAACCTTATCCAACAGTCCACGTCTACACTTCTATGCTACACGAAGCTGGATTGAAATACCTACCAAGAAATATAATAAAAAATTACGAGTACAAGAAGAATCATGCACAACATCCAGTAATCTTTACCTGTTTGATTCAAAGCCCTGATTAGCTCTCACTGAAAGTCCAGCCTCAAAATGCTGAAATTGATACCAATCATAGGTCAAGCCATTATTGTCATGTTATTCCCACAAGGTAAATCAAGTCTCATAACCATATACCCAAGATACCAGAAGCAAACCACAGCATAGAAACACAGAAAGCCATAGAGAATTAAACATTTACATCACAATTTAATTTCAGGATGAAATATTATACACTGTACTGGTTAAGCATAATCGACACCTAGCCCAAAAAAATAGCATAATAAACAATGAAGGCAAAAAAAGAAAAATAACCTACTTGGTTGTAAGCAAAAAAGGATTAGTAACCTACTTGATTTGTTGGCACTGAACTTATAAAATACTCCTCATCCCTGAAGCTCTTTGCCTTCCTTTTAGAACCAGAAACTGCCAGAATTGAAGTAAATCAGAAAATCAAAATAGAATAACACTTTTGTTATCCAGCAACAAAGTTTTATGTAGATAGCCATCAACTAGTGCCTAAGCTAGTTTTTATCAGACTTTCCCCTGTGCCGTGTAGATGGTCATTCATACACACTTCATCACTACAATAACATTTAGCACTAGAGATAACACTTTCTCGAGATTCAGCATAAGGGAATGCTCCATATCACTAGAATAACACTAAATATGGAGCACAATGTGATATTTCCTGTGGGTGGGTGTCTTGGGGTTTTTTTTTTTATTTGGGGGGTGGGTGGTGAAAGAGAGTAAGCTGAACTATTGGAATGAAAAAAATGAATCCAAGGACAAACCTTCCTTCTCCTTGCACTTGGAAGAAATATATTCAGATTCAACTTCCTGCAACAACCAAGAGATTCATCCAGCTCAGCAGAAACAATTTTAAAGGCATAAATTGTAATGATAGCAATTATCAGCAAATGTTTTTACATGGACTAAACCCCACAGACGGGTGCCTAATTCTCCTACACGTATAGAAAGGGGCCTGTGGTTCACAACATAGGTCCTGGGACTTACCTCAACTTAGACTCTTCTAACTTACTTGGCAACTTTTGGACACAGGAAATCTATGCCAGCACAGCCAAGCTTGGAAAAATAAATGCTTGATTTTGTTGCAGGAAATAAATGAAATATAATAAGCTACTCTTGTTAAAAAAAAAAATTCACTCAGTCACGCACAATGAACAGAGAAACCAGATTGATAGTAAGCAACTGCACAGTTTCCATGGATACTAACAATCAAAAATGTGTTCAGGAAAAAAGGTTTTCTTCATAATCGGAACTTCATCTCGAACTACCATCTCAAGCCAAAACACAAGAAAAAAATCAAAGGAAAACATTATAATAGAACCCAAAAAAAGCCAAACTCAAACATCTAAAACCACACGAAAAGAGTCGATGAGTGAAGCTTCACATGCCATCCATTTTGCACATCCTATTCTAATGAAAACTGACTGTTCTCACTTATACAACTTCTCTTTTTCAAACGTTCAAGGAAAAAAAAAATGAAACAGCACAATTTTTCATTCTCTCCAGCTGCTTTTCTTTTTTCTGCTTCCTGCTGACCATTTGATTCTTTTACACTCTTGTCTGCCACCTTTTCCCTTTCTCTTTCCTTATACAAAATTTTCTAAATTAGAGAAATTCTCCTACAACGTTCCGAAGAATAATATATCTATTTTGAAATTGTATGACAAATATTAACTGCAACAAAACGAAATAGTTGAGATGATGAAACCACATTATTGAATTGGAAAATTGCTCCATAGTATAAGATACCAACACTATCTGTTGAGACAAAAACAAACCAAAAACGTTTTCCAATGTTTCCATGGAGAAATCCCAAGATTTATGCATATCTGAATCGCACTATGAGATTCCCTGTTCCCCAAAAAAAAAAAAAACCAAAGTGACAGTATGGCATTATTATGGCCCATTATGAAGAAATATGCCCTGTGATACCATTTTCCACCAACAACTCTCTGTATAAACTTGCAAACCATATCAGGCGTTTTACCTCAGCCACATGATCAGTGGAGCGTTGTTGATGTACTTTAGCGATGACCTCCTCATGAATAGCTCTTTTCTTCTTCATCACATCAACCCACTGACTAGAATGTCCCTGTAATGAAACCTTAATGTTGATGTTAAGCAATCAAACAGAGAAGAGCTAAATAAACCAGTCTCTGGCATCTTTCCGAATAAAACGTAGGTTCCTGAGAAAAATATGAATGCATATACCCATAATATGGAACATCTGTATAAAAGTATAAAATATACATAAGGATAAAAACCCATGTAGCATGGACGTGGAAACAGGTACTGCAACACAAAAAATTTCCAATATGCAGAAATTGATATGGCATGGGCATGGCAATATGTGTGAGAATCGATGCAAATTTATTTTCTTGTATTAAAAATCTTAAATTTTTTGTTATATTTTCAGAAACTGCATCAATAACTGCATAATTCAGAAGAAGCAACTCAGCAAGACTATATTTTACTTATAATTACAGTTGGTGAGATGATCATATACAACCTAAATTGGCACAAGGTTAAAAGAGCAGAGTATTACATGCAGATGCTTTGATTTAGCGGCTTCACCTTCAGCTTCCAAAATGGTCTGCTTGGGTCTAGAATACATTGGCCACAGAATGTGTTAAAGAATATACATCTTAATATCTTGCAGTGAAGAAACAAACAAGAAGGGGAGAAGAGGCATTTTAAAGACCTAAAGAGATCATGATGTTGACGTCACCTGAATGCTTTCAAGCGTTCAGAAAAAGCAAGTGCTGTTAACTCATTGCCACCCAGCAAATTTCTGAAAATTGGATGCAACCCTTCGCGGGGTAATTCTTTCACTCTCCTAATGGATTCCCTAGATGGTTTTGCTTTTGTCTTTGAATACAAGAGAAATGCTTTAGTACAGGGTTTCAGCAAAGAATCTAGTTCCGTAGAAAAATCAATGATTTCTTGGACTCTGTCTGAAAGGAGATCTATAACTGTTTGGGGTAGACGACCATAAACTGTTTCTCCATTGGCAATGGCTTGATCGATTTTGGACAGAACTCCATCCTTATCTTGTAAAACTTCTTCCTCTGTGGGAGCAGCTCTTATTGATTTTGACAGAAAGAGATGAAGATCTAAAAGGCAAGGCATATCTTCAGATGTGATAAGAGAATATGCAGTACCAGTCCGACCAGCCCTTGCAGCTCGCCCTACGCGATGAACAAAAAGCTTAGGTTTGGAGGGGAAGTCGAAGTTGATAACGTTATCAAGCAACGGGATGTCAATTCCCCGAGCTGCAACATCTGTCACAATCAGCAGCATCGTTTTTCTTGATCTAAACCTTGCTACATGAATCTTGCGGGCATCTTGATCCATATCACCATAACAAAGAGAAGGCTCCACACCCTCTTCCCTAAAAAGAATGTTAAGGAACTCCACATGATATTTTGTGGAAACAAAAATCAATGACTGCTCATCAGAGCTTATTTGTTCTCTTATTAAATACAACAATACAGCATACTTTTCTTCCTGCCTTAAAGTGAAAAAAATAAGCTTCAAATCGGGGCTAATCTTAGTTTCCAAATCTAATCGCACAAGCTGAGGATCACGCAGACCAGCCTTAGCAAATTCTGCAAGGGCACTTGGTAGGGTTGCACTGAAAAGCAAGGTCTGACGATTCTCGCTCAGCTGGCTTAGAATTTGATGCAGCTGCTCGGCAAAGCCCATGCTAAAGAGACAATCAGCTTCGTCAAAAACCACATACTCCACAGTACGCAATGACATATCATCAACCTCAGAAAGGTGGTGCATGAGCCTGCCAGGAGTTGCAATTATGATATCAGGATTCTGTGCCAATTCTTCAAATTGGCTTTCCATACTATCACCACCAACCAGTAAACTAATACGAAGATCTGCATAGAAGACCACACTCTTCAAGTTTTACTCAGAAAAACAAAATTGATTAAAAAAAAAAAGAGAAGAAAATATCACTTTCTTTGCCTTAAATGCTTAAATGAGAATAGTTGCAGTACATAAGCCAGAGGGTGAATCCACGTACTCGTGGGGTTACATGAGAAATCAGACAATTAGGCTCCTACAATACTTAAAAAAAAAAAAAACCTAAAAACATCTACAATCAAAACTAAAGAATATTGCCACAACAATCGAAAATAAGAGAGTCAGAAAGCCTATCTGAAATTCAAAACTGCAAGGAAAATCGACCGAGTTCATACATTTATATTATACACATAACATATCTACATTCATAAATATATAGATGTGTACTGACCTGTAAATCGACCGAGTTCTTTGGTGAACTTCAAGGTCTGCAACGCCAGGTCTCTGGTGGGAGATAAAATGAGAGCTCTAACGCCACCCTGAGGCACGTGTTCCTTCAATTTCTCAAGCATGGGGACCAAAAACGCTGCCGTCTTGCCGGAGCCGGTCCGGGCCATGGCAACGACGTCGGAACCGGACAGTATGATAGGCATCGTCTTCCGCTGTATCGGCGTCGGGACTTGGTACCCCTTTCGTTTGATTCCTCGGTAGACATTGGAGCTTAGACCTAACGATTCAAAGCCTCCGGATTTTGATTTCTTCTTCTGCTTTTCTCTCCGTTTTAGTTCCGATTTTGAGCTCACCAGAAGAGTCCTCTCTTTCTCCATTGAACCTGTGTGTGTGGTTCTGTTCACCACTAAAGGGTTGGAGGAGAGAGACTGAGGCTTCTGAGAGCTGTCCGATAACGAACAAGAAGAAGAAGAAGGGTTTTGTTGCTCGTATAGGATGAGGGCCGCGAGGTTTAAGGGTGTGAGGATGGGTTGGGTCAGTTAGGCCTTTTTTTGGTGGAATGGTTCTGGGTTAGGCCCAGGGTCTCCGATCGGAAGATAAATTTGGCGACCGATCACTTATATGAACTTATTTAGCGATAAGTCTGTCAATGAAACTTATTTAGTTTTAAATCTATTTTTTATCAATTTTACTATTATAACTCTTTTTTATAGGAATATTATAAACGACGTTTCTTACCAGAATAACCAGTCATATACATCTCCTTCATAATCGCCTTCAAATTCAGCTACAATCTTCTAAGTCACAATATTTTCTTATCCGAAAAACAAGAAATCGGCATTTACCAAAAATAATTCATATTCAAATTTCAAACTCATTACATTCCATAAAATACAATTTCAATTTACTATTTCAATTTACATTGGACTTTATCGATAAAATATTAATATTAAAGCATGGCCAGTAAAAAAACAGTAACATACTCACAAAAAAATAGTAACATAATAAAAAAAATAATAACAATTAACCTTATAATCAAGATTCAAGAGAACTTGTATATTATTACTAAATTAAAGTGTTATAGATTTCAATTTTATTGATTTTTTTGTTGGACAAGACAATCGAGTATTTATTTATTGAGTTATTGTGAAAAAAGTTCATGTTACAGTACGTAAACCGAAAAATAGAGTTCAAAATTTTGATGTTTTGATGTTCACAATTGTTCAGTGTCGTAATTCAATTGTCGATTGTATGTTACTACTTGTCATTTTGTAAATTTTTAATTTGTGGATCATATTTTCACTAAAATCATTCGAAAGTTGACGTTATTGTAAAAAAAACTATTGTCCTGTATTTTGTAAAATTAGATGTATTACTGAGTACAAATTTTTGATGTTATTGTGAACATTAAAATGTATGTTACATAGTATACGTCTCAAGGTTTACAATTTTATGTTAAAATACACTATAGTAACATTAGTGTCAGTATAGTAAAACGACTATACTAGTAACACGACCCTAATTGTAACTTCAATCATATAGTAATATGAATGTTACTATTTATTAACATTCGTGTTACTGAACTCTGTTAACATTGTTCAACCTCCCTATATTATGTATTATTGTTGTTAAGAAAATTTTGTGATCTGATTTTGACTTAATATACCAATAATTTATTTGTATATTAAACTTCACATATATAACTATCAGAATATATAACTTTCATAAAAAAAATTCGTTAATTATCATAATATTTAATAAACAGTTTTCATATATAACTCAATCTAGGATTTCCATGTATATCTCAATAATCTAACCTATAAGACTTTTTATAACTAGACAAAACTAACATCGTTATGGGTAATTTTGAAATTTAAAAAATAAGTGAACTTAAATACATACATATAAATTTAAATATGGACTTACCACCAAATAAGTTTCCTTCCAAAACTCAAGTCATTATAATTCCCTCTAAGGGGACTCACCCCCGATTTTCACTAAAATTAATAATTGTGAAAATTAAAAACAAGAATAAGTCTAGTTATCTTTCAATTGACTAGTAATCCACCATGTGCATTGCACATAAAAGTTTCAGTTAAAACATTTGATAAAATATATAAAAATTTAATTATATAATTAAATTAGATATTATCTCATGTTTATCATACTTAAATTGTTTGTATTGTGAATGAAGAGAAAAATATATATCAATTTTTTAGCACTAGATATGATATTGTATCAATAAAATTGTCGATATGTAATAATACTAGGGTTTTAAAAAAAATATTATTTTTATATATCCGGTTAAGAATAGTATGACTATCTAAAAGCTTTAAAAAAAATAGAGATGTATATAATATGTAGAGGTTAGTTTATTATATAAGTATAGAGAGATATAATGATAATTTTCATATTTAAATACAAAAAGATATATTAGTTTTTATAGCTTCTTATAAGAACAAAATAGTGAATCAAATTTTTTTTATATAATATACTTTTATTATTAGTGTGTGTATGTGTGTGTATATATATATATATAAAAATATAACTGAATTTGAATTTTAGAAACAAATAGAGGGTCAGATCATTTTAAAACAAAACATAAATACATCTAACAGACAACATAATTCTAACATAAAAGTCAGTTCAGATTATCTCAAAAATTTTGATCTAACGATAAACAGTGAATTCTGAATTTAATTTTCCGCCTAACAACAAATCTCCCCTAATCTTATTTCTGCCTCTATCTTCCGCTCTCTCACGCCTCTATCCCTACCTTCCAAACTCATCCCCAAACTCCCAATTTCTCGCGCCTCTATCAATGCTTAACCAACTGCTGAGAGAAAGAAGCCCACACATCTACCCCCCCCCCCATCACCACCATCTACTTCCTCTTATCCCTCCATCACCACTGAAATCATATCCCCTTCACCAATCCCACACCACCCCCACAATAAACCAACCCACTGCCACCGCTCCACCCACGAGCATGGCCGTCAGCGCCCAACCCCTTTTTTAATTGTAATTGACCAACAAATCTATGGTTAGGTTTCAATTCATCATTTCTACATGAGTTTTGTTTTATGGTCTCTTGGTTTTCTAACTGGCTACTCAGAGAAGATTTCCAGATGCTGTCTCTTGGTTGTTTGGTGTCTCACTGGATATCTTCATGGTTCTCTCTGTATTCGCCGGTTGGGATTCCTTTGTGATTCTAGATGCCTTCGGTAATGGTCTTCATCTTGGGCTTGAATGTGCTGGTAATTCACACTCTATCTGGTTAGAAGCAAGAACAAATCTTCGAAGAATCTTGGAAACCCTTTCAATATTCAGAGAATTTCTGAACATCATTTGTAGATTAGCCCTCATTCCTTATTCCTCTTCTGGATCTGTCTCCTTATGGCTGGTTCTGCAACAAAAGCTGGATATTCATCTTCTTCACATTTCTCCTGGCGATTGGTTTTCTGGCTGGATATTCATCTTCTCTCCTGCTATGAAGAAAGAAACTCATGTCTTTTGGTGTAATCCTATTCTCTTCAATGGATCAGATTCGATGCTCTAAAAAAAAAAAAAAACATTTCACAAACCCCTTTCACCCTTCATCAAAGATCCATACTCTTTGGCAAAATTGGCCACTGCCATAGCCACCCCACCACCCACGAGCATGGCCATCACTAACCAAACAACTTTATTAGTTGTAATTGATTTTTTTATATTGAAATTGGTTGTCGTATTTTAGTATTGTTCGATTTGTGTGTTTTTAAATTTTAGTGTCATAAAGATGGCGAGTATTGTTCAATTTATGTTTTCCATTTGTCTCTCATTACAGGTCACTGGAATAGTTGACAAGGTAGAAATCAGAGTACCCAAATCCACTCCTAAAATCCCAAGGCTCACAACACCTCCAATTGTTCAGTCATCATTTACACAAAAAGTTGTAATTTTTCTCATCTTTGCCTTTAAATTTTTTATTAAAAGTTCTATGTTTCATGACTTCCATTGAGGTAATTTCTTCGTCAATTTTTGTTGGTTTCTTGAATTTTGTGGATCATTGCTGGAAATCATCACATAGAATGAAATTGGCAAAAGGATGATCGGGAAGAAGAGGAGGAAGATAAAAATTTCGGTTTGAAGAACGATGCCAAACCTTAAAATAGTAACAAATTTTAAGGAATTCGCGGACAATGACATTTCTATTCAATTATAAATAAATATCCCATGTACTGATATGTAGACTTTAACACTCTACCATTGCATCCCTCATAATTTTTCTCAAGAGACATGTTGGTAATGAGTCTCAAGATGTAAAATGAATTTTAATTGGGAGTGTCTTTTTGATAGTATGAATACAAAGCATGTGTAACCAAATAACATTTGGTTGTCACACTGCAAATCAGCTCAATATGGTTATACAAATAAAACAGACATTTATACAACTATTCTATATACTACCAACAATATTTATGCAAAGTCATAAACATTATGTAACATTAGGAATTTTCCCAAGCTACAAATCAATGAACATAATATCAAATCAAGAAAATCTTAACTTAACCAAATCAAATTGATATTGAACATATCACCACTAAATCTTGGACTACAAATCAAATAATGTGGATCAACATATCACCAGGAATTTACACATTCACCAAATAAACACAAATCCAAATCAAACCTACAAGCTGGAAAATTCTTTAGCATATTTAACAATCATCAAAACACTTATGCCAAAACACTAAAAAACACAAAAACCATTCTATCATGTGCTGCCTTATAGGCAGTGAGAGTATTCCCGACTGTCTCCTCCTCTCCTACCATAATATTCAACATTTTTGTTGTCTTTTCTCTGCCTGATCAACTTCACCAAAAGCCCAGAAATTGTGGATATACCTTGCATATACTTGTGTAGAAACTGCAAATCTTACCTCCTTTATACGTCTAAACCCGAAAAAATATATAAAAAAAAGTTATAATTATCGGGGGCTAAAAATACCAGTTATAAACGTTAGTCCTTTTTTTTTTTCATTGAGGCAAAATAACAAACAGTTTAAATCATTACATATATGAAACATGTTGCCCAAGAAAATTCCATGATACCTGATGAAAAAATTAAGTTAGGTAATAACCCATCTCAATGAGGGATAGCATAGTCGTACTTCATAAATAATATTTTTATACTTTACTTTTAAGTCATAATAACTACGATCTTCGCAATAAAACCATCACCCAAATCCTAAATCCAAGCATAACCATAACTACCACAACATTGCAAAGACTATGATTTTATACCACCACACAATTCTATTAAATTATAAAAAAGAATACAATTTGGCATAGAATAATTAAATGATAAGATAGCAACATAGAGACTTGTCTGACAATCACATTCCAAACCCAAGAGATGATATCATAGTAGCATAGAGACGCCAAATCAATGGAAATATGTGGAAATAATCAAAGCAACTACTATTTATTATAAAGGCATTATACACCATAAACCTTCATGATCCTTAAGTTACATATCAAACTTTACAACTAAAAGCCTAATAAAATACATAATAAAACATATACAGGCAAAATTTATAATAAACTATTAAAAATAACACTTTTAGCATGAGCCTTTTTAAGTTCATTTGTCAATACAAATAAAAAATTAGGGGATCAAAAGAGAATTGGACCAAAGAATGAATAAATACTGCCTCATTGAGAATAAATACTGCCTCATTGAGAACCAACCATAACCCTACGATCACCAAATTCAAAAGGTCACCAATTGATAAACATAGATTGATATTTAGCTTTTATTTTCAAAGTCAAGAAAGCGAAGAAAAAACTAATTGGACACAAACCAATTTTAAAACAGAGTACACACACCAAGAAGCTTACATGTTCTTAACTTCTGATTTCTCACTTTCTTCCCATTTTCTGACTAATAACAGTCTCTAATCCGAGTAAAACCAAGGAAATTACTCAAGTGATAGGCAATAAATTTAATCACGGAGTACAATGTGAATAAGTAAATAAAATGCCAGAAAAAACAGGAATTTTCTCAATATCTTATTCTTGAGGCACTGTTTCTCAGATCTCTTCCTGATTCTATCACATGCATGGAAAATCAAACGATCTGTGTTGACACCATAGCAATCGCGACCTAATAACATTAAAGTTAAACTAAGTTACCTAATAACAATCAAAAAATAGAAAAATCAAACTACCAAAACCAACATCCAGTCCATACAAATTAACAAAACCACCAAAATAAATCAAAGCAAGGAAAATTATTTTGTGAGGCATTTCAACAAACAGTTTATGTGTAGGAAGAGAGTTGGGTTGTGATTGGTGATTCGGCTGGTGGCAATGGGATGGTCTGCGTGTGTGTTGTGTATGTGCTGTGTGTTTGTATGTGTGTTGACAACCAGAAGATAGAGAGGGAGAGAAACGAAGAAAGAGTGAGGGAAAGGGACTAATAGAGTGTACCTAGACTTTGCCTGTGGTGGATTTCTTGGGGGTGGATTAATCTAATGATTCCATAGAGTGAGAGAGATAGAGTAAAAAAAATGGAAGCCCCAGAGATGACTAGGGCATGAGGATGAAGCGAAGTGAGAAGATTAAGTGTGACAGAGGCGGTTTGCAGAGAGAGAGAGAGAAAGGAAAGAAGACGCGTGACTGAGAGAGTAGACTGAGGGAGGGAGAGAGAGACATCGTATGAGAGAGAGAGGTACGTGAGCAAAAGAACTCTAGGGTTGTATATGGGATGAAATTGGAAGAGAGAGATAAGGCGTGAGAGATTAGGAGAGAGAAAGAGGCGTGACTCAATAAATGTTGTTGGGTGGGAAAATAAAATTTAGTACTCACTATAAACCGCTAAATTAAAATTATTGAGATGATCTAAATCGTCTTTTATGTTAGAATTACATTGTTCGTTAGATGTGTTTATATTTTGCTTTAAAACAATTTGAACCTCTTTTAATCTATAAAATTTAAAATTAGCTCTATTTTATTATATAGATATATTAGTCATTATTCGTGCCTAAAAGATACTCTTAACACAAAAAATTTGTCAAGCAAATGAGACATCTAGGAATGTCTTAAATAAAAAAAGTCCAAGGATTGAAATGAAAAAATTATATTATATTAATACAATTCAAAAATTCCTATGAACTTAAATTAACACAATTACAAAATTATTCAGTTATATATTTATTCTGACGACTCTTTTTTCCAATGAGTGTTTATTTTTTCAACCTCTAACTAAATAAAATGAATAGGTTTTCTAGTTCACATTGAATTACAAATAAAATTTTCAAAAAATAGAAAAAAATACTCAATTGAACAATATTGTCCAGCGAATCTGCTTGTAACTGCAAGAACAATTAATTTAAATTATTTATTACTATGACTTCTCGGATGCTATAGAAATATTTTCACGCTACAATTAAACCAGAACAACAAAATCAAAATCTCACTACTTAAAAAAAATTTGATTTAATTGACATTTTTATCGTTTCAGTATCTATTTTAAACTGTTCAAATATTTAAAAAATATTAACATTAGTAAGAGAAAAACGATGAAAATAAGGGGAAAAAATGATAGTTGATTTAGAATATTTTTTGTGCATAATTTTTTTTAAAATTTTTTTGTGAAATTTATATCATTTTTTATTTTTTATTAGTGATTAACTTGATTTAGATTTTTTTTTTGTGCTATTGGTAACACTTGTTATTTTTTTTAGTGATTAGCTTGACTTTTAATTTTTTTTTTATTGGTAATTAACTTGGCTTTAAAATATCTAGAACCTGAGAATTTTTTTTAATATTTAAACAATTTTTTATCTATAAAATCATATAAATATTTTGAGTAAATAAGTCTAATTAGGATCATCAACACAAACAAATAATACTAAAAAAGAAAGTATGAGATAACATTGTCTTTCATTCTATCTCATTACAATTTAAGGTTCATTCGTGTTGAATATTATTTGGTGTTTATACTCAATGTATTATTTTTTATTTACATTATGTGTTATTTACAAATTAAGAAATAAGTGACAAAGTATATGCTGTCAGATATATAAAATCTTTGAATTAATTTCATCGAATAAATAATTGTATAACATGTAGTTTTATTTTTATGGGATATATAATAACAAAAATAACACAAAAAAAAAAAAAAAAAAATAATAGTATGAGAGAGAGAGTGTTATTTGAGAAATACAAGACTTAAATTGTAAAATGAATGAAGGTTCAGTTAAGATTATCAAATTAAAACAATTTAAGCTGAGAAAAATTTTAAAAATATAATTTAATTATTTTATTTTATATATATATATATATATACACACACACACATCAAATGTCTTAATCCTGTCTTGTTCAGATTTTGTAGCTCGAGATGACAGCTATTTAAAGGAAGGATCTTTTCCCCCAGGGGCTAGCTCCCCGATAGAGGGATTGACAAAGAACCGTTAAAGTCATTGTTAATATATCATTATTTTGGTGAGTCCAATTTTGTTGCTATCATAAATAAGTGTGTTAGAATGCGACACAATACTATTAATTCCCGTTGAGTTATGCGAATTTGAATGAATTTTTAACGAGTGTGAGTGATAAACGGGTGAACGGTTAGACACGTTTAATAAGCGTATTGTATTTTGTGTAAGATATGTTAATCTATTTTATTAGTAGTTTAAATAAAATTAATAATTATTCAAAAAAAAAATTCAGCCAGAATAATATGTGTACTTTAATAATTAGATGAGTTCAAAAAAAAGTTTACTAATTATATTAATAATCTTGTTTATTAAATTAGTTAAAACGAATTGTGTCGAGTAACCTATTTAATAAACGAATCGTATTTAATTATATAAATTTTTATCTGTTTAATTAAACAAATCATGTACGGGTTAAATAATTTTTTATATGAACCCGATTAGACCCGATATGAGCTCGCTAAACTCAATACAATTGATACCCTTAACCATAAATGTTATATAGTTGCATGTACTACCTCACCTTCCTTCCCCCGATGTACAAGAAGACTCGGGAAAAAGACGATCAAGATCTCATGTATGACAAATATTAGAATAAATTCCGAACCCTCTATCAAAGTGAATCCTGTTCCAAGGTCTTCCCCTGCCCATCAAAAAATGAAAACTATAAGAAAAACGTGGAAGAAACCTTGAGAACTACCAATCAATTAAGTGATTCGCTCTCAATCAAAACAACAACGCAATTTGTTCCATAACCTTAAAAACCTCAATCTATATACTGGCTAAACCAAGTGAAAAATCTTTCAAGTGTATGAGGATTCATAAATTGTCCTCTCAAGAAAATAATAAAATGAGATTTTTTTAGTATAAATACTAATTAAATAATTGATACTAACTTGACTTGATTACTTGTGCTAACACGCCATGTCATTTTTAAATTTTTGTCAAAACTAGTCTACTCTAACCCCGCTAATTTTATGAATAGTTTGTATTGTATAAAAAAATTTAACTTTCTATGGGTGATCAATACACAACCCAAAAAAGAAAAATATGAGTGATCAATAAGGGGTGATTTAGGGATTTTGATATAAATAACCCGATTAGCGAAACCACTGCAATACCTCTATACCAAAAATTATGACATTTAAAAGTTCAATTAAACTTTTTTGAGGGTCTAAATTATAACTTAAAAATCAATAATTAATCATAAACATGTTAATCAATCACAAAAAGCACAACTTTTAAAATTCAAATTATATATTTTAAAGGTAGAATTAAAACACTAAATTAATATAAAAATAAATGATTTGCATTTACCGTTAATGAGCTTTAATGGTAAAGAGGTAGACCATTAAGCTTGTAAATAAAAACAGGTTGACATGTTCGGCTAAACACGACATGACATGAACCCACTACACACAACTAATACACAATACAAAATCAACATGACATAAATCCGATTACTCACTATTATAAAGGAACCAGGTATCAGTTCAACAAATTTTGACTCAGACATTTTAGACACAAACTCAAACACAACCCATGATCAATCCTTGGATGTCACAAGAGTCACCGAGATTTAAAGCATCTAACTTGGGCTCCAGGAGAAATCACTACAGTTAGGAAGAGTCAATGTAAGAATGATGGACGGAGGGAGAGAGGGGAAGCTGAAAAAGATTGACCATCAGACATGCCGGTCTCCTTGTTTGAGTCAATCTGAATAACATTGATCAGAAATGAAGGGCTGGACAGCCTCTAGTTAACGCGATGAAAATAAAGCTGCACTCCAATTTTTTGGGTAAAAGTTCTATACGGTGAGGCTTCATGTATCCCCTGCCAACCTTTCAGGTAGGGATCTATACAACAGCAATCATACCACAGGGTTGCTGGCTATCAACTTTCTTTCCGTTGTAAACCATATTTCAATCCAAAACACTAATCAAATGACCGAATAGACCATCAATCCTAATTTCTTCATGAATGCACTTTTTACTAGTACCTTGCTAGAAGTCCCTTAGACAGCATATTTCTAGAAATAAATAAGAAATCGCTCTAACAGAGTTTTCAGATATTCTTTATGAAAACCTATGGGAACAATTAGATTATCCTTGTCCTGAACCAGTCCTTAAATCTGGTTGGGATTCCGAAGACATAGTTGCCCATGATACACCGATTAGGGGCAGAGGATATAAAAACTAAAGAAACATGAGCACTGCCAATCCAAAAATTAAGCACTCAATGCTAATTAAATATAGAGCCAAAAGAATGGCAAAGCTGAATGAGTAGAGGCTTTATGAAGGTTTGGATCCTCCTTAAGAGTCCTTTAACCTGCAAGACCAAAGAGAAGTTCTAATAAGAGAAGACGCATGTCAAAATTTCAAGAAAAAAATAACTTGCAATTGATTAAAACATGGACCTCATGGGTTCTCAAATCGAACAACTACACAAGTTATATTGTCGGAGCTACCCCTTCCATAGGCTTCTTGTATTAGTTTTCTAGATGCTGCTTCTGCATCTGATATGTCCTGCACAATAGCCACAGCATCCTGAAAGCAAAAGAGAGCACTTACAAGTTTGAACTCCACAAACACCAGTTTGTATGGCAAACATTTCCCAGTGTTTGAGAAGATAAGAAAATAGCTCCAATAAAATCGCAAAATGATGTACAGGAGTGTTGGGCACTGTATTGCCGGAACAAACAAGGTCAAATGCCAATTAATCCCAGTTATTCTTAAATAGAACTTGTTTTGAAGCAAACTATAAAAATTAAAGCATGCATTCTCCAGTTTAATATTATGTACACTTATTAGTTCTGAGGATAAAGTAAAAGCCATGACCATATCATAATCAAGTATACAGTTCGTTATGGTGCTATTCAATCATTACAATCAGAAACATGGCAGTCGTGCAGAAAACAGTTGACAGCTCGTCTCGTCACCTTTATAACCACCTCTCATTGTAGCTTAACAAAGAGCAATTTCTCAGTTGGATAAGTAGGCTTCAACAGTGCCTACATATCCAACTGAGAAATTGAGTAAAAGAAATATCTTCTTTTTTTTTTGTGCTTGGTGGCAATAAAATTGAGTAAATGCCATCTTAGCCAAAAAGGAAAATTTCACATTTCAAGTTTCCAATCCCCATACATCTCAGTCAATGCGATATATCATGATACTCAGACTGCAGGCCAGTACCACAAGCTAAAATTAGAAGATCCAACGAAAATGGTAGAAGTAGAGGAACCACAAGTATTTCAATAGACCAAACTTTTGTAGAGAGACTGTAGTCATTACCTTATTTGAAAGGACATTCCAAAGTCCATCACTTGCTATGATTATAAACTCTACACAATCGATTTCCTCTTCCTAAGCATGGGCAAGAGGGCAAAAATAATAAGTGTGAGGTTGGAGGGTATTAAATAGTCTACAAATAACATAAAGTAGTCAGGTACAACTTTTACCAAGGGTTGCCCCAGTTGGTATGGGAATTACCTTACCAAGATCTTGGCCTAGTTTGGACTCTGACCCAGCACAAACCCACCCACCCCCCAAAAAAATAAACACTGACGTTGCAGTCTTGGAGATACAAAAGGCAGGAGACTTTGTCTATGCAAGATCTTGTCTTCTATGGACCAAAGCTCCGCTAGTTGAACACCTTTTTGTGAACAGTAGCGAGACGAAGGTTGTGCATCCACTCTTTTATAGTATAGGATATATACATAAGTTGTACCAAAGGGAGAAAAAACTATATTTTCTAAGTCCAAAAAGCATTTATTCACATTACCTGAATTTCTGGCTCAGCTACCACATATCTCTTAAGCAGTTTGTCTCCAAATGCACGAGAAACAGCAAGAACACCGCCAACCCGCCATGTTCCTGAAGTGTTCAGGGAAAACTTAGAAGTGTTTATAGCACAAATTCACATGTGGACACTTCCCTAGTTGCAATTAAGCTGGGGGCAGAATCAGAAACGTGAGGTACATCTATGGAGTAAAACAATAACCTAGATGAACCAAAAGTGAGTAACAGTGCATGGTATTATATCTTTCAGCACCGCACCATATTGTAGCAGCCTTCCCTTCCTCTTTGACATCAACAACCCCATGAAAAGTCCAATGTAGCAGAAAATCTCAAAATAATGAATATACAAAATGTACAACTCTAAAAGAAGACATAAGAAAACTCAGATTCTATTGTGACCATCATAACATATCATTTTCAATATTTCTTTTGAGTAATAATTTTGCTGCCTAATACCAATATCTATAAAGCTAACATGGTTTTAAAAACCTGACTTCACATTCTCAACATCATAGTTAAATCACGATTAATCAATGTCAGTAATATAAAAATAAAGATAATGCACCATATATTTCTTTTGAAAGGAAAGATCATTTACCTATCATAATTTGAAAAATAGAGTGGTAAGATATTAGTAATTTCAAAAACACCAAGGGCTCGTTTGATTACCGTATTATAAAAAAAAGAATTGTATTAGATAATACATATTAATTCTGTGGATAAAATACAAAATTAACTATGAGACAAAAATACCACCCATTATAATACAACGTTGGTAAGACACTGAATTAAGAGTGGTATAATAGAGTACTAATTACATATTGACCAAAAAATATCAATCTAGTCTAGCTATCTAAATTTTCGTTTATTTGAGAGGCAAAATAGTAAATTTATAACCTAAGAAGCTTGAACTCCAGGTGGTATTATAATTAGCTCCATAATACAGGTAGGGTATATTATCCGTATACGAATACGAAATAAGCCTATATATAATACAGAGTCCTTTGGAAACCAAATGTAATATAAGGTTGGATTAGAGAGTTTTAATCAATTATGATTCCATAACCACCCCTTAATGCTGCAATCAAATGACCCCTAAGAGCACAATGATACCAAAACATTATATGAAACATGGTAAGGAAAGATCAGAGGTCTATGCATGGGATAAAAACACCAAAGTTGCATGCTCGAATACCAAAGCAAAGCCTCTGCATACATAATTTAAAACATTAGGTCTGTACTTATGTATCCACTGTATTTACCTAACGCATGTGATTGATGAAGACCATAGTCTCTAAACTTGGTAATAACCTGTTCTCTTCAACTACATATGAGGATGCATCATACACCATGGCCACATCAAGCTTACCTTCCTCAAATAAACAAAAAAAATGAAAAAGAAAAAGAATGACACACTGTAACTTTAACTCAAAGTTAAAGTCACCTTCTTACAGCATAACTACACACAAGAAGAGACATAAGGCATGCAAACATAACAAAATAAACAATGCAAAATTTACCTGCCCAAATGATGAAACCCCCAGCTTGTTCAATCCTTTCGCGTTCGTCAGTTCTATCAGGTTTGTGATCAATGGACATAGGAATGGCTACATGAAGCAGAAAGAAAATCACCAACATAGATGCAGATGCAAGGAAAATTCTCTTCTTCCTTTTTTTTTTTTTTGGAATTTTCTTGCATATTCTATAGCTTTAAAACCAAGAGATGTCTGTACTTATGTAATGAATGTCATCACCGCTTATTAATCCCACTACACATTGTACCTTAACAATAAAAACTTTAATTTATGTTGACAAGATATAAAAAGGGTTTAACTCTTTCTGAACAGATCCCAACACATTAATTAGATCTTTAGTTATTTGGCATAGGGACTAAAAGTTGCTTCTGGTTGCTGTAAGAGACCAGGCTCTAACCTCAACTAATGGAAAATCGAGAAACGATGCAACTCAATTGAAGCTGGATCACAGATTCATGAATCTAGGAATTTATTTGCCCAATTTTGTGACAAACGTCGGTATTTTGAGAATTTGACAGATGACATGCTTCCTTAGCTTTATTTAGACACGTTATAAAATTACGAAGAATTTAGGATGCGATCATTTTACTTTTTGAAGATTTAGTATTTAAATAATAATAGTTTTATTCCCTTATTTTTCATAGGATTTTTTCCTGAAAAGGTTTTAGGCTTTTACGAGGCGAATTTGACTTATATCTTGTTACAGGAGGCAAAAAGAATTCTAATACATTCATAAAATGATTCTGGGGTTCTACAATGCCAATAAATCTCATGGTTTAAAACAGGACTTTCCTCAAACATGGAAAAATTGCATTTTATAAATAATCGAGAAAGAGTTGACCTGCACCAGCTACACAAGCAACCACTCTAGAGTCTCCAACATTTGCTACAAGCAGCCGATCCCCTAGCAGTACAGCTGTTGATGCAGTTGATCCAGCATCTTTTTGCTGCCCTTTTTCTTCCTTAAGGTAATCAGCATCAGTTTGTCGAAATGCTTCAACTGCAGTCAAGAACTTTTTCCAATTAACTGAGACATGAGGCAGAAGATAGCATAGATAATGCCTTCTATAAACATAGATGTTCTGCAAACCTCATACCAATAGCAGACTTTGTGTCTTTAATGAAATCTGGATGGTTGCTCAAATTCTTGAAAAGGTTGATTTTAAGGTATTCTGCAGTCCTGGAACCACCATGACCTAAGTTGGAGAACCACACATTAAAGATCAAAGTAAGGTAAACAAGTTTGCTACATGTATTGGTTTCTCAAAATAGATTATAACAAGCACAGAAGCATCATCAATACGAACTTTGCATCTTTGTATGCAAAACTTACAAAGAACATTCTAACAAGGTTGGGTATGTAGTAACATAGGGCATACCATCAAAAACACCAAAAAAGGCAACCATCTGACCATCCACTTCTGATATCCTTGTCTCATAAAAATCCTCCATTGAGGACCGTTTACCCTTGAAACTGGAATATCCATAGCTGAACCTTGCATTTTGGTTTCCAGTGAGAAAGCTATACAATGAAACAGAAGGGATTAGTTGCATATAAACCTTTTATCAACACAAGAATTTTTGGATTAAAGTGTAAAGAGATCTTGTATCACATATCAAACACTTAGGACCACCATGGTTGATTCATATACTTGATACAAATCACTCCACTCATTGTCAATTGGTTTTGGGTTGGATGTTCTAATATGGTATTAAAGTAAGGACATGGGTGGTCAATGGTCTACTCACCCATTTGAATTTCTTGTTATGCATATGGTTGTTCATTTGTTAGCCCCATACCGGACCTGGGTCCCACATGAGCGAGGATGTAAATAAATATTATATCTCACCTCAAATGATTAGGACTATTCAAAGTTGGTTTATATACTTGTTTGAGGGGTCACTCCACTCATTACTAATTGGTTTTAACTTTTGAGTTAGATGCTCCAACACAAAGGAACAATAAATGAATCATTGACTTCGCAATTTGCCATTGGAGAGTATGAAAATAGAGCTAGCAAACCTGGCTAAAACAGAATCTTAAAAACAAGTTTAATTTTGGCTTTGAATCAAATTTAACCCACCATGCACTTTCTTTTAAGCTCTTTTCCAAATATTATCAAAATTCAAGTTTCTGTCTAATTGTCTAGGACAAGCAAAAGTTTGTCCCAATGAAGATCTCGCCAAACCTAGTCTCTCACATCCTCTATTAGAATACTGGATCAACCACAAGTCTGCAACATAGCAAGCACCCATCTACCCTATCCGAACTCATTTAAGTTGTGTGCCCTTAGCCTCAATTGATTTGTGCTAAAGTTATTTTCAACAATTAAATATTTCTAAGTGACAAAATTCTTGGAATCAAACAACACAACCAGTATTTATCTTCAAAATCCCTCGGTATTGTAAAATTGAAACTCAGAGTAAGTGGGATTTTTGACAGCAGTTATAAAAGAAAGGCCAAGAATTCAGGTCCTGAGAATTACCACTGCACTAATACGGCATCATGCTATTAGCAACACAATCTCCATCAGATGCACATCTACAATGCTATTAGCTATAGAGAGGAACTCCCCCCTTGGGTTTTTCCCTTTCTTGTTGCATACTTTATTCATTCTATCAGCATACAGTATTGAGGCTTTCAATCAATTCAACTATAACCCTAAAAGACATGTCAAGGTTTTGAAGCTGGTGACCAGCATTGTACTTTTTAGTGTTCTCTGCAAGTGTTCATCTATATCTATACATACATCTATATATGCGAATAAAAAATTATTTTCCAAATATTGTTAACTCTTTCAACATGTACACAGATGTGCAACAGTTCACTCAACTTTATCCCATCACAATAACATGTTACGATTGGACACCCTTCTTTTGCAAGCCAGTTTTCAGGACAAGTTCTACCATGGATCCATAACAAAAGGAATCCGAACTAGCCACTACGTTCAGTATGAGATCAAATGCAGTATGAGTTGCGACTCTCTGGTCGAGACATGGTAAATGGGTACTCTTTCTTTTGCAAACCGGTTTCTAAGGGCAAGTTCTAACCATGGGTTCATAATAACTGACGAATTTGAGGTTTAAAAATGGCGATTGCGAAAGAACTGCCAACACCTTTAAGAACGATAATTTCACAAAAGCTAATCAAACAGATTACAATTTACCCACAATTATTAAAATTAATTTACCCATCTGCATAACAATAGCAACGCTAGCGACGATAGTAAATAGAAAAAATAAGTAGAAAAAAAAAAAAGATTCGAAATGAGACAAATTGAACATGGAGGGAGGAAATTAACCTGATACCACCGCCGCTGACGAGTGCATCTGGGTCCCTAGACGGAATTACCATGTTTAGTCGTTTCTGTTGTGGTGCTGGTGACTGCTCCGCCGCTAGAGGTGGTGGTGGGTCCACATCAACATCCCCACCCGTGGATGCGGGTGGGGTTACTGTTGGGAGGGAAGGGTTGCTTAGATTGGTGGCCGAGGAGAGAGAATCTTCTTCTTTTTTCTGGTCAGTAGAATCACCTTCTTCAACGTTGATGTTCATGCTCGCCGCATTCGAACTTTTTAAACGTACATACAGAGGAGTTTCCCTCCGGTGGCCGGCGGATCAGTGTGTTTTTGTCAGTGTGTGTGTATGTGAGAGAGACTGTGTCCTCCTTTTTTTAGCTGCTTCTTACCTGGATCTTTGACTTCATAAAATATTCATCGGTATTAATAGATAAATAAATTCAAAATAACTATTTTTTAAGTAAGATAATAATTATTTCATGTAAAAAAAAATAAAATTCATTTAATTAATTTAATATTAGTGGCCCTTACCTTACAATACATGGAATTTACAAATTACAACCCGTTATCTTTTTTTTTTTCCCGTTATTTTTGCCTTTCTTTCCCGTTATTTTTTACCTTTCTTTCATTCCTATCATTTAAGAAGTTAAATAAAGAATTATAAACAAAAAATTATATATGAGTAATTTTTAATTAAAATTAAATAAATAATAGGTAGTTAGTGGGAGAGAATATGGGTAGTTATAAAGTGACACAAGCTAAAGATTATTGCTAGAAATAATTAATTTTTAATTTTATAATTCAAAAATTATATACATTATTTTCTTGCAGTAAGGGAAGGTCTTCTAAAGTCTTTCGCAACTAATTTGTTTGTTGTAATAATATAGATTGGATCCATCCGTTTTAATTCAAAGAGTTATCCATTAAGATTGAGGTTAAGATGTTCGAATTTACAATTAATCCAAGCTAAGCCACATTAGTAAACTGCCCATGTGGATTAAAAATAATAGAAAAATTTTTAGAAACATTTATTCTAATTTATTATATCTTGAAGAACACATCTTTTATTATCAAAAATATCACTGCAACACTCTGTTCTATTTTATATTTAAACATCATTGACATCCCTTACCATTAAACCACCATTTATAACAAAAATAAATTATCTAAAGCACTAAAATTACTCTTACATAAACTCCAAACATTCTTTCTGCATAAAATTCAATCCGATTAAGATTCACTTTTTTACAAATTAAAATTTGAGTTGATTAGAATTCTTTATTCTACATATTTAAAATATGATTCGATTAAAATTCGATTCGAATTGATTAAAATTTATTTTTTTACGTATTAAAATTCGAGTCGATTTGAGCTCTACTTGAACTTTTAGTCTCAATTAAAATTCTCTTCGAGTCGATTAAAATTTATATTTTTTATTTATTAAAATTCGATTCAAGTTGATTAAAATTTGAATCAATTAAATTTTTTTCATATATCAAAATTTGGGCTGATTAAAATTTAATTTGAGCCTTGAATAGAATTTTAATAAGTAAAAATAATATATAATTTTTAATCGATTTAAATTTTAATACATAAAAATAAATTTTAATTAACTCGAATTGAATTTTAATCGGTCCAAATTTTAATACGTAAAAAATTTTAGAAAATAGAAAGAGTCTCATTGAAGATATGTCTATCTAGGGGGTGCGGATAAAATTTTTCCTAAAATATATTATGGGCAATTTAATAAAAATTATATTCTAATTAATATCTTTAATCTAACAGGGAGTGTTAGTGAAGAATCAAAAAATAGAGAGGGTATCTTTGAAGATATGAAAAATTAGAAGAGGTGTGACTAATTTTTTTTCAAAATAATAATATTAACATTCATATTTTGTTTGATTATCATAATTTTGTTTTATTATATGTCTATATTTAGTTTTTAAATTATTTTTATGATAATTTTAAATATGTATAGACATGATTTTGAATTTATTTCTTTAATTACGATAGTGTTCATGAAAGCATTCATGTAAGTTGAATGCAAGTTTGGATTATCACAAATTTATTTATTACACACCATTATTAATTTTTATTTTTTCCAAAAACAAGTAGTGTATGCATGACATGCGTTTTGAGATTTGGATTCTCTCGATATCAGAATTTAATAAATTTTGGGCAAATTCATTCACTTTCACAGGTTTTTAAAATTCCACTAACATCCTATTGGATCCAATTAAAATCTAATTTACGTGGTTAAGTTTGATTACATTGTCGAAAGTTAAAAGTGAGGTACCCCCTCTCCCTCTCTCTCTCTCTCTCTCTCTCTCTCTCTCTCTCTCTCTCTCTCTCTCTCTCTCTCTCTCTCTCTGACCCATTGCAAATAAGAAAATGAACAAGGTCTTGAGGTTTTGTGTTACGTTATCATATACTCCAAAAATTTAAATATTAGGGTTATATAATATATAAGTACCAATCTCGTAAAACAAGCCCCTTCACATATGCATTAGATTTTGAACCAAACAAGTACACTTATTTTAGCAATTAGATTGACAAGAAGATTTAAATACAAGATTTCCTAGTTCTAATATCGTGTTACACAACTAACACGTTATCTTTTATAGGCGGTAACATTGTTTAGTAGTGGTACACACCATATAATTCCCACCTGCAATATAGACATGTATTGCAGTGGTTGGTGGAGAAAATCAACCACAATTATCACCAAATCAAACACAACCCTTTTTTTTTCCCGATTAAACTCTATTACAGGAATAACGAGATTTGAACCCACAATTTTAAGATTCACCAGAAGAAGAATTGATAAGCATTAAACCAATTGCTAACGAGATTTAGAGGCAAGGGGCTTGATTGTATAGACATGGGATGAGGGACTAAGAACACCCAAGAAGCAAAGCACGAGAACTAGTTCGAAGAAATGCCCAACTGAAGATTAAGCATGCATAATTGAATAGGTTTTAGTCAAATGAGTCGGATAACAATCAACACAAATTGAATTTATTTAACTAGTATTATATAAAGAAAATTGTTTGACTTGATTTTTTTTTCTTTTTTAGATAAATGAGAACTCTCATTTGTAGAAAACCTATATATAGTGGAATTAGTTTAAAAAGGGGTTCTTGAATTGGGATTTTAGTGTCGCCCATTATACATATCAATTCAAATATAACACAATTTAAAAAAGAGTAATGCTACGTGAATTTAAAAAATAGACTTAAAAATTAGATTTGATAATTAAAACCATTGATTTCACTGTGGGTCCTAACAGTTATTAGGACCCACTACCTATTCAATGATTGAGATTATCAAATTTAATTTTTAAGTCTAATTTTTAAGTTCATCTAATATTAGTCTTTAAAAAAACTCGATATCCAAATGACATAATCTAACCATGACACCACACAAACGATATCAAATTGTCATGATTTTGTTCTTGCCATGTCCGAATTCTTTTCAACAACTACAGGGTGGCTCAAGTAGTTTGGGCCTCAAAGTTGTAGATGGTGATGCCTCTGAGACCTGGATATGGACTTCTAACTACTCACTTTAACTTCTCCACTTCCAGTCGCCAAAACAAACCCATGTCCCTTCTCCACAAACAGACGAAGAATCGATAGCCCCTTCCGTGAAAAAATGATCACCGTGTTAATCTCATAGGGAATGTGATAGTGACCTCGCGACATCTCTCTGCCAATGGGTTTCCACATTCAGACATTTCTTCATAAACGTGGTGTACTAATTTAATCTCAGTTCTGGTTGGCTCTTCCTTCTAATTTCATCTCATAAGTCAAACTTCTCAGACACTAAATCCAAAGTTTTTTGATATACATAGAAAGTTTCTTACGCCAGTAACCCTTCAGCTCCCCTCCTTACTTAAACTTGGACCAGATGTGGAAGCTTTTGCATGGGGTGTGCATGCCAACCGAGATTAGTCTTTGGCAGGGGTGTTAATGGGTGGTTGAGTTTTAAGTATGTTCACATACGGTTTCATTCTGATTGTGATTGTTATTGATTATTCTTGAACTTGGCTTTGAACTTGGTTAACATTTGAGTCGAACTTGAACTAAATTTTGTATCGAACTCAAACGAAACTCAAAGCTTCTCTCAATTGTTTAATGATTATTAGATAAATGTTTATGTTACACTCTATCTACCATGTTAAGTTTTTTTAGATGGAATAGTGATTCAACATGATATTAGAACGTAGAGATTTTGAGTTTAAATCTTACAATACTTATTCGTTAGTGCTAAAAATTAAAAATAAAGTGGATGGACCACCTAGGTATTAGCGGAGTATTAGATAGATATGTATGCTATACCTTCTCTATATCAACTTAAACTTTCAAATGGATAGTGGTTAACATGATATTAAAGCAAGACGTGTGACAGAATATGTTGAAATATAAAACTTAAATTACACCTTAAATTTTTGAGTAAAGTTTGTTAACAATCACTTTGCTATTTGGTGGTTTTAACTGGTAGTGAGTGAAAAGAGACACTTTTTTTTTCTTTTCTTAGGGGGAAGGGGAAGGGGAGTGAAAAGTGATACTAATTGTATGTTTGGATCGTAGATTAAAGATAGATAACTATGGTAAGATGGAATAAAAAAGCATGTGAAACTTATATATCTCACGTTTGGTAAATAAAAAATGCATAAAAAATTCTATTTAAATTTTATCCTGACAGTTTGAAAAATCAGCTTTAACCCACTTACATATTGCTTGTTGTTGCCTAAAATAAGTTGTTGTTCTCTTCTCTTGCTCACTGTAACACGCGCCTATTTGTTTGTGGTTACAATATATTTAAAAATATCTATTTTATATTTGAATGAGTTTTTAAAAAAATAGAGGTGAACGTATAATTTTTCGTTTGGAATGAATTTGTGACTAATTTACAAATCAAACATAGTGATGAATTTGACAGGATAGAGATGAAAGCAAATTACAACACTTTTATCCAGAGACCCCATAAAAATTTATTATCTACTCAAACAAAAAAATAATTGAATATACTAATTTATATCTAATTCCAATGACAACTGAGTGAGTTTGAATTAGTTAAGAAATGATTATAAATATTCAATCCATTCCACTCTATCCAAACATACCCTAAGGTTCTCAAATCTCTATAAACAATGTTATTTTGATCAAAATTTCTTACCAAATTTTTTATATCAAGTGGTGTAATACAGTTTTTACTTATCAAATAAATGAGTCTCTTTAACATTCAATTAGGTTTTGTTAAATGGATAAAAAACTTACTATTAACATAACTAATCTCTATATAAAACGGAGAGTCCCACTCTTAGTCACCATCCCTCCACCTACTCACCGGCATCCACCACCTACTTATGGCCATCCACAGCCGTCCCAATACCCACCACCATCACAATACCCTCCTTATGGCAAGCCACCACCCTCTCACCATCATCGCCCACCCACTCATCATCATCCACCGCCGCCGGCACAACACCCACCACCATCCCCTCGATGTCCTCCTCCTTATGGACAGCCACCACCATCTCTGTATCCGCCACCGTCGCCTCCATATGGGCAGGTGACACCAACTCCATATTCTCCACCATCGCCTTCAAATGCAAAGTCACCACCAAGTCCATAATTGACGACTCCTCCGACAATGAGGCCGCCACCAACACCGTACTACCCTTCACCTCAAACAACGAAGCCTCCTACTCCTTGACTTTTGTTTTTTCTCAAGTGAGGCCTATGTGATCAGTGCTTTCCTTTGTTAGTTTGCAAGTTTGCTATAAGTGTTTAAAACTAGTGACTATGAGCAAGATAAATAATTGTGTTAGTTATCACTCTATGCTTTTAGTTCTCAGTTCTTTACGTTCTAGCATGTCTTTTCTTTTCATTTCTGGCCAGAAAGACCTAAAGCCAACCAAAATTGGACTAATCTGTTGAACAAAGAACACAGAACACAGAACAGAACATAATCTCTTGAAGAGGCGGTCAACCCAAATCACCCATCCCAGGGATCCGGACATCGCCAGTATATAAACCCACGGATGGCCCAAGGATATCATCTCCACCGCACTTTCTGTTCAATTCTCTTCTTCTTGTTGGCACGCTGGTCATCATTAATAAGTGGTGAAAGACCAACTTATATATAATGAATTACACTTAAATATATAATAGATAATATGCCAATAAAAAAATAAAAGAAAGTGTACTAGAAAGAAGCTTACTTTAAATTAACAAGCTAAAACAAGGATGAGTAGTAAACTGAAATATTATTTCTAAAATTTAACAACTTCTCCCGAAATCAGGTCATCCCTTATAAATTTTTTAGTCTCAGTATAGATGATTAGTTTTTGATTTAACAAAAAAAAATTGATTAAGGTGTACATAAATTGATTCAAATGATCCAATCATAATTTTTTTTTAAAAACACTCGGCCCAAATTGTTGTAATTTGACAGAATCTTAGTTATTATTTTGTGTATATTTCTTAGGAACCGATACCAAGTTTTAAGATTTTGTGCCCAAATAATTTAGCACACTCATACATCAAGAGATATCCTCCTTGGGCATTTTTATTGGATAATTGTGAGTAGAGTAATGTTATGTTAATCAAATTTTGGGATTAAATTTGAAACTCAAACGACGTGGTAACATTTAATATGAAGTCTTTATTGGGCCAAAATGATAGGACACTAAAAAAAGAAGCTCAAGTCAACTGTCATGTCATTTGACTATAAATTTAGTCAGTATAGCATTACTATTTTAAGGGATTATTTGGAAGCCAGTACACTTAATTAGACTCATTTGACAAAGAGTATATAGAACAAAATATTTTAGAAAAAAATACACAACTGAGATACAAAGACGTAAATGCCCATTTTAGGGTCATTTAATTCAAAATTTTTTATCTTTAATGCACCTTGATTCATGTATATTTTTTAATACATATATATATATATATATATATATATATATATATTTGTTGTTAAATCCTTTATCTAAATTTTAAATTACTTTTAATGCACCTTGATTCATGCGTTTGTTTTTTTTGAAAAGTGATTTTGTTTTTAAATTATATTTAATCCACTTTGATTCATGCGTTTTTTTTTTTCGAAAAATAGTTTTATTTTTAAGTTAATTTAATATCCGAATAGTGTAATAGTGTAACAATGTAACAAGTTCTTTATATAAAATATTATACTATTACATTTTGTTAAACATATAGTTTTATATAATTTCATTCAAAATAGACCATCTCTGTTTTGAATTTGTTACCACATGTACAAAACTACTGAACATTTTTTTGTTATAGTGTATTTGTTATATTGTCTTTGTTACACTATTCGGATATTAAATTAAGTTAAAAATAAAACCACTTTCCCAAAAAAAAAATGCATGAATCGAGATGTATTAAATATAATTTGAAAATAAAATCACTTTTTCAAAAAAAAAAAACGCATGAATCAATATGCATTAAAGATAATTCAAAATTTAGATAAGAGATTTAACAAGTATATATATGTGTGTGTGTGTGTGTGTATTAAAGTTTTCCCATAAAAAGTTAGTGCAATTCAGGTGGCTCAAGTTATGGGGCTGCATAATAACGGAGGAGATAGTGAGAAGGTTTGGGCACAAGTTGGATGGTATCCCCAAAGAATGATTGGGTTAAACTGAATACAGATGACTCATTTTGGAAGCATACGGGTCACGTCAGGGCTAGGGGTCTCATTAGAGATGCTAGGGTAAATGGCTAGGTGGTTTTGCTCGAAATATTGGAGCTTGCTCTGTTGTGTCTGCGGAATTATGGGCTATTCTAGGTGGTCTGCGGATGGCTTGGGAGCTTGTGTATAAGCATATTGAACTGGAGGTTGACTCCCAAATAGTCGTTGCTATTCTGCGTGAGGAAGGGGAAAATGATCATTGTTCTTTGGTCTTACAAGTTCGAGCACCGTTACGACATGAGTGGCTTGTACAGATTCAACATATTTATCGGGAAGCAAACACTTGTGCAGACTGGTTAGCCAATTTGGCTCATTAGTTGGCTTTGGGGAACACTGTTTTCCAAAGACCTCCTATAAGGATCATTTCCCTGATTGATTCGAATGAATATGGTGTCTGTTTTTATAGGTTAATTGTTAGTTAGTTTTTGGGCTCTAACTCTCTTTGTAACCAAAAAAAAAAGAGTTTTTCCACAAAACTGGGAGATGATTAATGCACCACTTTCCAAAGAAAAAACACATGGATTAATAGAGGGCAAAAATGTCATAAAAAAATTAATAAAATTCAAATAATGTACTTAGATACAAATAAATATCAAAATTAAGAACTTAATTACTCAACATTTTTTTTCTGTGTACTTTTTTACAATTAAGTCTAATTTGGTGTACCTCCTTCCGATTTTCCCAATTTTTAGTTAATAGATTCATGTTCCGTTTGGTAGGAATGATAAAAAATAAGAAGGATAGAAAATAGAAGAGATACACTTTCTATCCTTGAAAGATGAAAAGTAGGAATGATACATTTTTCTTCCTTTGTATTTGATTGGATGGATGTAAAATAAAAATGACCATTTTTTTTTAATTTTTTTGTCTAATATTAGGGGTGACAATCAAGTCGTGTTGTGTTGAGTCATAAAATTATGAGCTTTTTATATTTTTTGTTCGCGTGTCAGATCATTTTCAAGTTCGTGTCGAGTTATAATCAAGTTTATGTCATAAAATTTGTGTCGAGTTCGAATCGTGCCATCGTGTTAAGTCTAAAATTTTCATCTCTAGTTAAGATAAACAAAATATTTTTTTAATTTAAAATTTTTATTTTTATTTATTTATTTTTTTTAAAGAATATATATAAATACATATTTTATCATTGTATTTTTACATGAAATTAATGTACACATAATATATAGATAAATAAGATACATTTTTAACACAAATAATTAGTTTTTCATTCACTTTCCTTCCCATTTTAGAGGGATTGATATTGATGAGTTGGAAAGAATGCTAATCTATTCACTTTTTCATCATTCTTTACCAAACACGATGTTTTATTTATCCCTCCAACTTTTCATTCTTTAATTTTTTCATCATACCAAAATGGAGCATCAAAATATTATTATTAAAATCTAAAAATTTAATTTAATTTATTAATTTAATGATGTAACAGTGACATGGTTTTATAATAGTGTTATAACGGTAATGTTTTGACTATTTTATTGGAATTTTATCACTTGACATAAAATTATGTCAATTTTTGAAGTTCCAATGTCATTAATTAGGATCCATGAAGTAGGTTATTGATAGGGGTAGAGTCAAGTTTTTTTTTTTAAGGATGAACAATTTAATTACATAATATGTATATAAAGATGATTAATTATCACCTTTGTAACAATGCGAAGTTAATTGTTATTATGCAATTAAAAAGCTATCAGTTATCCACTGATCGTCCATTAAATTTAATCAATGAACTATCTTCCAAACATTATCATTGAGATATTAAAATAATAAAGACACTAAAAAGAACTAAACAAAATAAAATTTTTAAAATCGATTGGCACGTAACAAATACAGTCATTAGTCAAACAAAAATAGAGACGAGTTTCCGTAGAAAAATAAAAGTCAATTGAAGGTCAGTTGTAACAAATTTCACTTTCAAATAACAAAATAAAATTAATAATTCATAAATATGAATACGAAGGTCACCTATACATAAACAAAATAAAGTTAGAAAAAACTTATCTCCAAGCTATGAAGCATGAATACTTTGTCAAGGTCGACGTACCCGTATCTGATACCGTATCGGATACGATACTCATCGGATACTCGATGATACGTATCGGATATGTATCATCCATATCCGATAATTAATAAAATATGTGGATACTTCGCGGATACTTCTAAACATGGTGTAAGATGTACAATTTTTAATTTTAAGCTATAACCATTCTTTGGAGTTCACATACAATATAAAACATCAACAAAATTCCATCTGATTTTAAAAACACGAGTGTTTTTTAAGTATTATCTATTATTATATGTTAATAGGGTATAAAAAAAATGAATCACTTACACTATACTTTTAAAAATAAATACTTATAAAATCACCTAGTTAAATGTTATTATAATTCTTTTAATTTGTCATACTCATTTTATGAATAGATCATAATGAGATAATATTATAACCTTTTCATGGTAAAAAATTTTAATTTTACTTACTAATGTTAAAGAATTATTGAAAAATTGTAATTTCTAAGTCGTTAAATAATAATAAAATATAAAATATATTTTATTATAGACGTATCTTGGCTGTACCCGTATCTTAGTTTTTTAAATTTTGCCGTATCGTCATATTCGTATCGTATCGTACCCGTATCACGTATCCGTATCCGTGCTTCCTAGTCTCCGAGCCTCTAACTAAATAATATATAGGAATCACTGTGTATTATTAAATATATGTGTAAATCACAAACGGAAAAAATCACCGAATCGGAGACTACAGTATCGCACAAATATTGTCAGTCCTAAAAAAACAATATACATAAAATAGTGTTCATAAACCAAAACAAAATCTCATCGTACTAAAACAAAGCATCAATCATTTGCACACCACATTCTGGAGTTCCCTCCTTGATATATCAATCACCATGGTGCAATCCATTCTGCTAGATTTCTTACTCTTCACCAGCACTTTCATCAGCTCCACTTCTCCTCTCAATCTCGACTCGCTCCTCAGCGGCAAAGACCCAGAACCCAAATCACTTCCCAACTGGCTATTGCTTGGTAAATTTGCCGATGATAAGCCCACTATGACATTAAACTTCCTGGTTGATCTAGCTTTAGCGTTCGCCTTCGGAATGACGGTCTCTCCTACCTTTGTATCTTTGTAGAAGAAATCAATTGTGCTGTTGCTGTACTTGTAGTTTCGGAAATTCGTGTTCTTCACCCCAAGTTCAGCAATCATGGAGATGTTGAACGAAGGGTTTGTTAGCGGAGCATCGAAGGAACCAAATGTGGCGGACCGGATACGGAACTTCGGAGCTCTGACTTTCATTACTGTTAGTGAAAATAGTAGTATCATTCCGATTTGAAACACGGTCAAGGCGGCGATGTAGATGAAGCATTTCGTGCGCTTCTTGCGGCGATGATCAGCGGCGGAGACTGAGGCCAATTCTTCATCGTTGCGGCCGTATGGATTGACCTGCGGCGGAGGGTAGGTCTGTTGTTGCTGATCCTTCTCTGCCATTGATTTTTTATCCTTAACAAAGGAGAGCGAGAGAGAGAGAGAGAGAGAGATTTTATGTGGGTTGTTCTGGGAAGGGATTGAAGAGAATGGTGGTGGTGATGGAGGGTTTGTGAGGAAAGATATATATATATATATAATGTTGGAATGTGGTTGTTGGTAATGAAGATAGAATGAGTTACTTTTTTTTTTGAAGAATAGTATGAGTTGGATTCTGGAACTCCACCATTGAAATGTTTTCTGAACCAAAGCCAAGTGTTTTGAGTTTTTCTGCAAGCCATCGGATGGTTCCAAAACGCGTTGGACGTCGTAGATTTCTTAACATTCTAGACGTTTTGAGTTTGGGGCGTAACGGTCAATTTGATAATATACTAAAATAGTAAATGAAAAAATTATACTTACACCTCTTGTTGTTTCTCGATATTTGGAAAGACATTCGAATTTTTTTAAATAACAGTAATACCCCATTTCAAAATCTGTTTATAAGGGAAAAATGTCAAAGTACCTTGTTTCCCTAATAACAAATATATGAAATGCATCAGTGGTCAATTCCTCCTAAACTGACTCATCCACTCTTTAGTTCCTCAATTTTTTTTGAAAATACAGTGGAGTAGATGGAGAGAGATAGAGAAGAAGATGATCTGTATTTGACTGGATGAGGGAGTAAATTAGTCAAAATATGCATAAATCGATTTAAACATTCTTGACCGTTGAATAAAAAACACAAAAAAAGAAGAAGAAAAAAAAATGATAAAGCAAGAGTGCCATTGTTATTTCAAAAATCATTTACATTATACTTTAAAATGTTAATAAACATGTAAGAAAGACGACATAAATTTTGTGGCAAATATAAATTAAATTGTATCTTAATTCCTGAAGTTTTAGCAATGTAATTAACAACGAATAGAAAAGCGAGACGGACTTAGCTGTAACGAGAGATTAAAATAGTGAGAGAAAAAAAATAACAAATGGAATTTGTTCTCCCGAGTATACCCACTAGCAATTTTTCGAAAAGAAAAATGTTATTTAAACATAATTTGGAGACCTAATTTAGGGATCTAATTCAATATAACTATTGGATTGATTTTAAATTCCATCTAACATTAAAACTTACAATTAATTTAATAATTACATTAAAGTCATATTATTATATCCTAAACAAGGTGTCTATAGTATTGCTCTTCCGAAAAAGGGGGTAAAGGAAGAAAAGGTGAGACCTGTGGTTGGGTTGGGCCTAGTAGGATGGGCTGAACCAAACATGGATCTCAACCTATTGTCTTCTTCACCTCTCTCTCTCTCGTCCATCTCCACTTTTCTCCCTCTTCCTTCCCACCAGCCAACACCCCCCCCCCCTCTCTCTCTTCTCTCTCACACACACACACACACCCCGCAGGACCTGTAAGAAAATCCGTTAAAGTGGAAAGATGTTTTTCCATATAGTACTGGAGCGGAACATGCAGCTCCACCCACGCCACTTCGGGCGCGACCTCCGCGATAAGCTTGTGGCCAAGCTCATGAAAGACGTTGAGGGAACTTGCAGGTTACGTTTCTCAAACACCAACCCTAAAAATTGTTCAATATTGCAACTAATTGCTCAATGAAACACAACAACCCTAATCGGTAATTGTAGTGGTCGACACGGCTTTGTTGTGGCAATCACTGGCATCGAGAGCGTCGGCAAAGGCCTGATTCGCGACGGCACGGGCTTCGTCACCTTTCCGGTCAAGTATCAGTGCGTTGTGTTCCGACCTTTCAAAGGGGAGATCTCAGAAGCTGTTGTTACCATGGTCAATAAGGTTTACTGATTCAATTACTCAATCCACAAACACATAAAATTGTTGTGTATCTGTGCGTAATCATATATCAAAATTGGTGCAGATGGGTTTCTTTGCTGAAGCTGGTCCGGTTCAGATTTTTGTGTCGAATCATGTGAGCCTAATGATTTATTTACTCGTTTATTTTACTGAAATAAGTAATTCTACAACTTTGCTTTCAAATTAGGGAAATATAAACTTTAATATTCATTGAATAAGCTCATGTACTTTCCTGGGAATCTAACAAATTAATACTCAATCCTGTTTTCGAGAATTATTATTCCAAAATCCTAATTGTACATGATTGATTGCGAGGACAAGATATGAGGGATTATTTTAGTCTCAGTTGTGCCGTGCTAAGTAACGATCATTAATAAGAGAAAACCTCTGCTAAGGTAAATTGGTTCTAGTCTGTTAAAAGTTCGACATGTTTTTCATGGGTATGTGCGATATGTAATTACTGAAGTTGTCAGGGTTGTGGTTTGTATTGTTGGGCTGCATGATGAATACTCGTTTAACTGTATCAGTAATAAATCAACAGTTGACATGCTTGTAGTGTCTATGCAACTCATGGAAAATGGTGTATGAAGTGATCAGCACAGATTACAATAACTCAACCCAAGAGATCATTAGCGAGCTAGGGGTTTTGAAAAATGCGCTGTTTTAGTTGTGATACAGTAGTAATGTATTCAAGTAATGAGTTGTAGAATTTTTTTTTTATTGGCAAACAGGATTAACATGCTGCATGTCAAAGATTCAATTATCTTTTGCAGGTTGTTTCTTCAGTTTTGTAAATCCTATTTAAAGCTTTACAAACTTGGTTAATTCCTTGAAAAAGATGGCATTATCATCCTTCTGATTGTGAGTAGTAACAAAAGCATGCCTAGGTTACCATTTGGTAGCTCAAGCAGTACACTCTGTCACCTGCCTCTAACTCATTTCACAACTCCAAAAATTTTGTGCATATGAAGGTTAAACATTGCAGGAGTTTATATTATATGTTCTATGTTCAACCTAAAATCCTCATCTTTTTTTTTTTAATAGTTGATACCGGATGACATGGAGTTCCAATCTGGAGATATTCCCAATTACACAACCTCAGATGGATCAGTATGTATCAGTTCTATCTTACTGCCATTATTCAGTTTTGGGTTTTGTAGATATATGCTTGACTTTTGATCTGTAGGTTAAGATTCAGAAGGACAGTGAAGTTCGGCTAAAGATTATTGGAACTCGAGTGGATGCTACAGAAATTGTATGCCTCAATTCACTCTTCTCTTTTATGTAGTGATTAAGCCGCATTCTTTTTTGTTGCTTGAATGAAACTTGAATATGTGTAGTAATTTATCTCCTATGTATTAGAGTTGAAACTTGAATCAGTTTGTGATTTAACTAGTGAAACTACCAGGGGTTAAATTCTGGGTGAAATCTGGTGATAGATGTTTTAATTACGGAGATGAGAAAGAGAGGACAACAAGAGGGACAAAATATCATTTATGATAATTTTATCTAGGGGTGTTCACCTTACCCTACCCTATAGGTAGGAAGTATGGTCTTACATCTTCCTATCCAATATTTTGGAGAAGAATTTTTTCTTAATCTACTCTACCCAATCAAGTACAATATTCCTATTCGACTTCCGTAATTAATCGGGTAGAAAATTGGGTAAACATATTTTGTAGTTATTAATTTTTGGATCATTTTAACAATTTAATTAAATAATATGCACCAATTTAACAACACAATAAACTAATAACACTAAAACCTAAAACAATTACAATAAAACACAAGAAAGCGCAAGGCATAAACATCAATCCATCATAATTGTTACACAATTACAATAACAACTATTTTAAGTTTAAACCATATGAAGCACATCAAAAATCATAACTGTTCCAATATATATATATATATACACCCCTAGTTTTATCTTACTTTAACTTGGATTAAGTTTAGGGCTTTGGAAGACTTCCTGCCTTCTCTTCGATAAAATCATAGTAAAACATGTACCAAACTAAATTTTGGGGAAAAAAGTTGGAATTAAAGAAGATTACTTATGTGATGGATCTGCTCTGAGTCTGAGGAGCTTCTGAGGAACCGCACAAAAGTGTAAAAATTATAAGCCTTTTATAATCAAAGAAATTGATTCTCCTGAAGGTAAAGAAATGGATTGATGATTAGTGTGGGGCGTTATTTTTGTCTTTTGCTTTCATTTTTTAATATGTGGTTTCTCTTTGGTTAATTATAATTGGGCATTGAAATTTTTTGGGACAATATACTGAAATTGGATTGATCAGAGTGTTATGTCCTCCTTCCCATTCCCACAAGGGCGAAGCAACATTGATGCAAATTAGTTCATATCCGAAAAATTATGGTGTCTCAACCAATATGGAGAGTCATTTATATTTTGCTATGCATCTTTTTACTTTAATTTTTACCTCCTAGAAAGTCTATTTGTTAGTTGATTGGGAATGTTTATGTCCAAATAATCAAGAATGCAAATTAATCTCATTGGCCTATCTTTTGATCTTAAAAATCTAGTTCAATGTTATGTCCTGCCATTTGAATCTGTGTTTGACATGCATGCTTATTGCAGTGTATTCTTATCCGTTGACTTCCAGGGTTTATGTCATAAAAATCTAGTTCAATTTTATCGTATATGAAGTCAAATTTCACCTGGTTCTACTGTTATACAATTGCTCACCACCAATGCACTATATTTGCTCACATGTACCTCTTAATTTGTTTTCTTCTTTCTGTTAGGATGTTCCCTCTTTAATGCGTAGCTCTTTTTCTTGCAGTTCTGCATTGGTACCATAAAGGATGATTTCTTGGGTGTGATCAGTGATCCCGGGGCAACTTCCTAATAGAATTGGTGGTGGTGTTCTTCATTCCATGGATGTCTTTGCCTAAGCTTCTATACACTCTCCCAACTTCATAGTAGAATTGTTGATGGTACTGTTTTTGGTCGACATTACTTATAAGGCTGTTTTACCCTTAAGAATCTCACTGGCCCATCTTTGGATGTTGGAATTCTGGTTCAATTTCAAGTGCAACCATTAGACATAGACAAGGCCATGGAACTAATGCAATTCATACCTTTACTTTTCTGCAACTACAATCGGGCATGCAGCTCCCATGCATATAATTGTTCAAAGTGCAAACGATATGATGAGACTAATCGGCAGTAACATTAATCTCAGCTGTCATGCTTCAGTACATAATTATAACTCAAAAAAGTAATGTATTCTTTGTTAATGTGTTTTATGTATTTTTTAAAAATAATTTGCTTAAAAAAGTAAAAACATAATTTATTACTCTTTTACCAAATTTATGTATGCATTATTGGTACTCATGCAAATGTGTATTATAACACATGCGACAAAAGCAGCAACCCCAAACAATGATAAATAAAAAATGCAATACAATTTTTTTTTTAAATAAAAATATACTTCAAAAATAAAAAAATAAAACCTAAAATGTTATCAAACAGTGTATAATCAATCATATTATCTATACAACTTTCTGTGACAGTATAACAATGCCTGTGATGAAATCTACCACCCAATAGTTTTGGTAACATAAATCTTCCCCAAAAATTTCCCATCTTCACTGCACAGTCAAAGAGCCATCTTGCTTCAACTTCAGAAGACCGGTCTCAATATTTCGAAGCACAGGCTTGTAGCTGCAATGTATTAAACCGCAATTTAGTAATTGAAAAGAAAAGGTAAGAAGGATGTCTTGCAAAATATAAACAAAAGAAACTTAACCCAATCACACATATAAACCGACATCACCCAAAAAAACTAACCAACGGAATAAAAAATTTAAGAAAATATACAGGCGCGCAAGACTGCTGTACGCTTGTGTGGCTTGCTGAAGCCTCACTGAGAGCTGCAAGACCTCTGCTGACAGTGCCTCTGTTCTGCTCTGTTCTTTAGCAAGCTGACCCTATACACAAGACAAGGCAAGCAAAATAACTACATAATATACCCTGTTTTTAACTCCTAAGTATAACACTTGATCAGGCTCTTAACTGTTCATCACTGTGTAAATAAAATTGGACTATCCTTTGCAACAAAAAGATCAATGCATAGAGACAAAAAACAAAACTTATCACCCCACAGCCCATGACTAACCTTAAGGGAGACAATTTCACCTGTATGTGCCAAGGGCTCACTCCCTTTGCTGGATTCCAATAAACCTTCCTGAATTCCCTTATCATTCAGAGTTTGCAGACTAGTCTGTTCTGTTCTCAACTTATCTAACATGCCACGAAGCTCCTCATTTTGCTTGAGGCAATCTTTCACCTGCATACACATCACAAAATTATTAAATAGGAAAAAAAATGGCGAAACTAATATGATATGCATAACTCTCTAGGACAGGAAAATGGATGGTTACATGATTTATGCCAACTAGAGGTTTAACGCTAGAATGTTCCACGAAACCAAAGTGCAAACTGGAGTGTCAACATCCATATGAAAACGTATAAAAAGGAGGAAAAGTGGTTGTTGGGTAAAATATGTCCTTGGACACTTATAGCTGGAAATGTGACCAGTCTGCAACCATCTTTCTTTCAAGGGCATGGAAGAGAAATAATACAGCTAATTCACTGATTCTCAAGGACTGTCAAAGATTAGCTAGCCTTTTTATATAGCAGAAACCGCGGGTGCTAAAAGTAAAAACTAAAGACCCAGGGTTCCAGAGACAACAATTGTTCTACGAAAATGCAACTTTTCTCCTCCAAGTCTTGTTCTACTTTCAGGACAATGATCTGTTCAGTAGACTCACAGTCATAGTTGCTTTACCGCTGTTATGCAAACTTTTATGCGATACCTCAAGCCATATAAGACATGGACAATATTTGTTACTCCTCTGATGGTTAAACTATCAAATTGGAACCAAATTCAAGATAATGATCCTTCATCAATACACATGGTCACCGAGGTACCTGATTCTCCCAGTGAGCCACTACACCAATTGCGTCTTGATAAGCTGATGATAGATTAGAATTTTCCTCAAATAGCCTCTCTATCTCCGAAGATTGGGAATCAATCTGTAAACAAGATAAAGAAATAAGGTAAGTTTCCAGTTCAGGTTACATTAATAATAAAAAAGAAAATACTGTACCTCTGTCATAAGTTTTTGCCTGCTATTTTCCAATCTCTCAACCGCCACTGCCATATCATGCAATTGCTTCTCAAGTCTCTCCTTGTCTTCCTGTAAACATAACACAAAAAGGTTAATCAAACCAATCAGATAGCAACTTGTGCACCAGCATTTTGATGATGTGTCAGCAAGGGATAGTGATCCTAATATCCAGAGAAAAACAGCAGTTTACCATGGTAAGCAATGATTTGCAGCAAATATCATCTCAACCCAACCATCCTACTTATCTAAATTACGACTGAGTATCAATAATCAGTGAAAGCACAACTTTAGAACAAACCAGTGATCACAAAATCCAGTTCAAACAATAACCTACAATCATTTGCAAAGCCATTGCAGGGGAGGGATTATATCAAGTATCAAAACAAACACCCACTGGAGATATAATCAATCAAAAACATTCACTTACAATTGAGAATGTCTTGTGGACTGCCTGTTCTGAGATTTCTTCTGCATTGCACAAGATGGGGTCAACAGTCAAAAGTATAGACAAGAAAAATTGCTGAACAAAAAGAAATGTTCCCAAAATGCAGCACTGCAGAACATAAGATTGACTGATAATCTCCCACCACCCCCACCAATTTTTTTTTAACTTCATTTAGATAATACAAATTAAAATTTAAAAAACTTTAAGAAAACAGATAAACTATTAAGAAAAGGATGAACAATTAAGAGAGGATTGGGTGATCAATACATGTTTGAGAGACATCTGATACAGTTTCCCCAATATAATTGATCAGTGCAAAATGCCTTTAAGGAGTAAAAAGGCAAGCACTAGGCAGGCATGCCCAAGAACAAAAAATAGAGAATGAAGCAATAATTATACAATCTGCAATATTGTCTGATAATGGAAAGACTAATCTAATCAACGGAAATCATATCCACTGGCATGTCTGCAATACGTTCGGCATTCCTCCAATCCCAAGTAGCTCTTTCGTCACTCTACAATCCTCCGAACATCAGTTCTCCCATATCCGCCTTTGTGAGGTTTTTCCTTAAAAGAAACTTAATCATTGATAATCTCATGCAGCATCAGCAACAACCCATCTCGGCATCCCCGACAGTTTGAAGGAGTAGTGCCATTGGTATCATTCCTGTCTTTGTTGGTCCAACTCGTGTCTGTATTGAATTCATGTTGTAAATTGTAGTAGTATATCCTATCGGTCAGTATGTGATGCATTGAGAGTAAAAGGAGTAGCTCTCCTTCTGACTTAAACAACCGAACCATCTAACTGTCAGTTTGAGCTTCCAGTATCAGTTTCCTAAGTTGGCTAATCAACATCAGTGAAATCCTGAACTTAAATCTTCATTTTTCTGAGTAAATATTACTAATTGTAAGAAAGCAGAAGAGACTTCAGAGGGTCTATGTCATGACACTTACACATCAATGCACAAAAAAAATACATATAAAAATTCCAATTCAGATGAGAAACAAATAATTAGTATGCTGTACACCAAATGATTAGCAGGTATGGCAATGGAATGGATGAATCACAACTATCAATCAAAGATAATAAGTATCAATGATTAGCTAGCATCCCCACTTCATAGCTCACCTATTCTTGATTCTAATTTTAGATATTCTGCAGCGCCTCATTCACGAGCTACGTTTATAAATTATTGTTTCTATGTTACATCCCATCCAAGTCGCGAGTTGCGGGTCATATATTGAACAGCCCAAATTCATAATTTACACGCACAGTAGTATATATAGAGAGTTCATGATACTTCTAAAACAACAATGAACAACTAGTTAGGCTACAAAATTTCAACCACGAAAGTTCATTTGCAATACCCGAGGCCCTTTTAGAAATAGATGCCATTTTCTCTTCCAACTCCTGCTTTTCAGAAATAAGGGCAGATGCACGGGATTGCTCCTCTGCTAATTGTTGTCGCTCCTGCTGCCTTAACAGCGACTCTTGCTGTGATGTAGACCAATAATGAGATTCAAATAAAGAAGCATCTCAGCAGCAAAACTGGAAAATGCTGATAAAGCAATCAAACCTCCAGCTGGGACTTTAAACTGGCTAGTTCCTTTTCCATAGCTTGCATGTGATCTGGAGAATGGATCATTGAGGTTAGGGTGCTGAGTGAACCGTCCATGGCTTGCCGTTGTAACAAATTGAGTTCTGCTCTCAATGCTGCAGTGTCCTCCTCGGCCTAAAACAAGAAGATTAATAAGCACATAGTGGCAGGCTTGCATTTTATAATTTAACACAGAAATTAGTTGCTTACTCGGTATTGTTCTTCCTCTGCTTCCTTTAAACGCTTCTTCATTGTGCGAAGCTGGGCTGAAAGATCCTCCTACACAAAATATCAGAGTTCATTGGCGAAGAAAAGTGAAAAACAAATGTGAAAGGAGATATAAAATATGGTGAAGTATTAAGGTGATGTGTACCCGTGCAACAACCGCTGCATCTTTTTCCATTGCAACATCCTTGAGAGCTTTTCTCAGGGATGGCACAGTATTTCGTTCCTGCAATTTAAAGGTGAATCAGCCTATTTACATTTAAAAAACTAACTCAAAACATATTTGTTAGTTACACTGAACTTATTTGTAATATGCAGCATTTTAGGTTCTCGATTAACTTAATTATATCAAAAAATGCCAACACATCAACCTAAAATTTAAGAGAAAAAACACAACTGCTAATAACTTTTATCTTTCTCAGAAAAAAATATTACGCATAATTAAATGTATTCAAAGTAGAGCTGTAATTATCACATAGATAAATGGGGGAACCAAACTAACGAATCTTAAGCATCTGATGGTACACATGTACATTACAAAATACTAATAGCAGGTGATAACCTTGTGCTGCCTAATAAAAGGTGGCGGCAAAATACATGAATAAAATCATCTCTTTATGCAAGCTTGTCCACTAAGTTATTAATTGGTGATTGGTCAAAGTCCAGTCCATTGGATCCATCCCTCTCTTCAAGAATTACTGAATCGAGCTTCCAATCCTAAAAAGGATATCATCAAAAACTCTGATACGCAATATGCATAAAATTAAAGGCATTTCATTTACCAGATCATTTAGACGCTTCTGTAGCATGTCACACTCTGTTTCTTTTGTCTGAAGCTGGAGCAAAAAGGCATAAAATACCATCAGAATTGTGCTTTCATATGGACTTGAAAATACTCATATGATGATGTATAAAGAATATCACCTTTGAAAGTAATTTCTTGTTTTCGTCATTTAGTTCGGCATTCTTCTTATGCATGTCTCTTAACTGAGATACTAAACCACCAATATCATTCTGCATTACGGTTTCATCCAGTAGAAAATTACATACCAGAAAAGATACCTCAAACAAACTTATATTTGACTATACTTACAAATACACAAAATGAAATGAATACATTCATAAATTGGCCAATTTTATCACATTTACAAAATGGAAGAACTTGTGGCAGAAGAGACCACGAACTGTCATATCTTTTTTTTAGGGTCTCATTTTTAGCATCTAATAACGAAAAGCATATCCTTAAAAATTTTCTCCAAATTAATTGAATTGAGAAAAACAATATGGATATATTTGTTCCTTTGCGTAATTTTCCAATAACAAATTTTGCAATGAGACAAAGGGTCAATAGAGAAAATTGAGAAAAATCAATAGAACTAATGAAACTTTCATGGGAATGACTAAAATCAATCATAGATATTCCACCTCTGAAAGTCTACTTCCACTATCCGATTTCTTCATCCCTACAAAATCTGCGCACAACACACAAAACAAATGCTATGAATACAAATTACTAAAATAACAAGTTAAGCAAACATTTAAGAAGAAAATTCGAAACAAAAATAAAAAACGAATAAATCAAAAAACACCACTAGGGCTTGAAACTTGGCTTAGATCTGGTCCAGATGCCGCCTTGCTTAGTCTCTCTGCTGCTCTCTTTTGTCGAATTTCTTCCAACTGGTATGATTATAAATATACACTATCCAATCAAATAAAATATAAAAGAAAATTTCGCAATAATAAAACAAATAACGCAGTCAATGACCTAGAAATCAAGAGAAATAAAACCATAAACATGTGAAGATTTGAAGATGATGATAAGATCTGTACCGTTCGTCGACCTAGGGTTGCGTGATGAGCATCCATGGCAGAAACGTAACCTGTAACAGCGACGATCGTTGAAGGTCACTTTGAAAAGAGAGAAAATGCCTGAAAAGTTCATGGTACCTTGTTAACAAGAACCCAATGCTTCTCTCTATTTTGGGCCTTTTAACAATGGGAAAGACCCATCTAAAACCCCTGAAGGTACAATGAGAAAGGTACATCTAGATTATGTGCCGAAGCTCATATGTCGTGTTTTCCATTTAAATTAACCTATTTAAAAATCATAAATTTTCCATAAATTATAATAATATTTTTAAAAGATTAATTTGTCATTGCAAAAATGTCAAATTTTGTTTTGTTTTGCTGCAAAATTACATTTTCTACTGAGACCCCATTATTAAAATTTATTAAGGAAAGGTAAGAGGAAGTTATCACAGATGATTAAAGTAAAACCAGCAATATTTATTAAAATTATGGAAATTATTAATATTACTCTTTTACTTTACTTTACTTTAAGGTTTATTGGCTTACAATGCTTAAAAACATTAACTTACCGAAAAATTATGTAGAAACAATGATCCCAAATGTGATAGTAAGGTAATTGGTAATGTTACTCAAAACAACAACAAAAAAATATTCATAATTATCTGCGTAGGATGATGTGGCTCACTATCATTCTAAACCCATGCTTAATAGATCACAATCAACTCTAATATATTTTTTTTTAATTCACTCATTGATAAATCACTGGTCATTGTATTAGTGAAGGGTGAATTTATATACAACTCGCTAGTGCACACACGGATTATTTTGAGGATAAAATCATAAAATATTGTATATTAAAACTGTTCTATATGAAATCCCCCCAAAAAATATTGATCAAAGCAGATCAATAAACATTAGAGACCCGAATAACACATTCTTTTTAAGTTAACACTTCAATTATGCTAATGAACGTAAGCAAAGACATGTGACATTGAAATTTTTTATGACAATATACACAAGCTGAATGGAAATCAAAGTGTAAGCCAAGTCTGCCTTTTATTCTCATTTTAAAAAGCGCTAGTTTGTCAACACTTGACTCTGTGAGCACGAGCCATTTATCCTCTATCATTATATAAGCATCAATTATCAAGCAACCTCCAAACACCACCCAAAGTGTTCGATTATTTCCTTTATCGTGGAATTGGTGGCTGAAAGTATAAGTTTTTGGTAGTCTAACTCATATCACTATAAAGACAAACTGAACAAGGAAACTAAATATATCATGAAGTGTATGTCATACACATTAAAATGACAATTTTCTCAATGAATTCATTGGGAGACCCAAATGGTCTAATGTCTATACAACTCTATTTTGGAATGATATCCAGTGGCACCTATATTCACAAAAGCAAAGAAGAGAACCAGCTGAATATGATTGTTATCCCTAGTGACCTCCTTATCATTTAAGGCAACTCTGACATGTGAATACACATTAAACATGTCCATTTAACATAATTATAACCTGTATATTAGTTAGGCATGTGTCATGCTTGTGTGCATGCAAATATTTCTAAATATAAGCACTTACTGTATTAAAGTTTAAGTACGAAAAGCACTATGCGACATTGGGATGAACAAAATTTGGCTACTGCCCACACTTTGTGAGGGGAACCAATGTGGGGATAAACTGGCCAACTTGGGAGAACAACAATCTAAAGCCTATGTGGAACTTGATTACCCACCAGATGATTTAGGACTGTTAATTAATTTGGACCTAGCTAACATTGCTTTTGTTAGAGCCTATAGATAGCTAAGTTTCTTTTTCACACCAGTGAAAAAAACAAATTAGCGAATAAGAAACAACTACAACCTACAAAAAGAAAAACAACTCCATAAAAGATTTTTTTTTCCGGGGTTGTTTTTATATTGCAATATATATGATAAGCATTTTTTTTTAATTGATGGACATTTGTAGTACTTAACTCACTCTTCTATTTTCATCTTCAAATAATGATGCAAAGTGCAGGGATATGATATTGTAGTAGGAAAGCGCAGAATACAGTTGCCCAGTGGACAGAAGCGGTGAGTAGCCATTGCACAAGCTATAGTGAAAAATCCCAAAATATTACTATTAGATGAGGCTACTAGTGCACTAGATGTTAAATCAGAGAGAGTTGTGCAAGATGCATTAAACCTAGCGATGTTGAACCAGACAACAATAGTGGTGGCGCATTGGTTGTCCACAATCAACGTAATTGCTGTGGTAAAAAATTGAGTCATAGCAGAGAAAGGAAGCACCAATCTCTCATCAATATCAAAGATGGAATCTATGCCTCCTCGATTGCACTTCACATGACGCCTCCATCATCTTAGTTTTGCTTTTGTGCTGCTTTAAGAGCAAAATTCTTTATCTTTTTTTTTTAGCAATGCTATTTAGACCTAATTTTACACCCAATAAGCTCCAATGGAGTAGCTTTCCACCCTCTTGCTATAATAATTAGGTTTCAAAATTATGTAATACTACAATTCTCCAAACTTTTCTCCTTTAAGAATATATGAATGTATGTCAATTATATACCCCTCCAATTTTGACTGATGTTGCTATTAGCTCCCCTATGTTTCAATTTCAACACTTTAAACCCCTCTGTTTTAATACTGTTTCAATTAACTCAGCCGTTAATTTAAATTAACCGTCAAAAGTGTTTCAACATGGATCTCACGCGATCGCAATTTCTTTTAAATGGCAAAATTTCCCTTATTATCTTTATTTAATAAGTTATTTTCCTGTAAGATTAGGTTAGAAAAAGTTAAAATCTTACAAAGAAAATCTTCAAATCAATTTCAATCACAGAAGAACATACCCAAATAAAAAAAAAAATCATGCAGCAGTTGAATTATTAAATAACTTCCGACGGTTGCGAGAGAAGAGAAAAGAGAAAGTACCTGTTGTTGCCTTGATATTGCCACCACAATCGTGGTCTCACGGGTCTAGAATCTGGGAAGTACTCGCCAAGAGATGGTGGTCTGGACTCTGGCGTAACGGATGGTAAAAAGAGATGGAGATGAGAAGGAAGAGAAGAGAGGGAAGATCGTGAGATTGCTGGCTATGTTTACCGCAACTAGAGGAAGACCATGAGATAATGACAGAAGGAGATGAAGCCGGGCTTTGAGGACTCCGGCGAGGTGACTGAGACGTGAAGAAACGAGTTGAGATTGCGAGTGGAGAGAGAGAGTTTCACGATTAGGGCAAAAATGGCCAAAATTTCTGGTTTTATAGGATTTGCACTGACCCGGTCACCGGTTTTACGGGTTGACCCGCCGGGACAGTCCGATTCTGATAACTACGCGGTGGAGTTCCTCTGCTGTTGGGGGTCTAACAGCAGATTTTGCCGTTAACTGGGACGGCGCCGTTTTGGCACCAATATGCTCCAGCAAAAAGACACAGACGAACGACGTCGTTCATTTTGGGACCAATCTGCTCCAAACGGCGTCGTTTGCTAGCTATCTCTTAGGTTAAAACACAAGCCAAACGAAACCCCTGAAAATTGCAGTTTGTTGTCTTCTCCAGCCAAACGAAATCCCAGCAGGCGTCTTCCTCGTTGTGATGTCGTTTGCTCCAACCGTTGGTTGCTGTCTTCTTCGCTGGAACAGATTGATCCAGCAAAGGATCTCCACCCCAAATTGTATTTGTGCCCTTTTTTCCCGAAGCTGCGATATTGCACCACGAAACTGATTATATGAAGTGCAGACTGGGGGTTTTATGCTGCGATTTCTGCTGTCTGGGAAGCTTCGCAGCTGTTTTGGGTTTCGTATGAAGTGCAGATTGGGGGTTTTGTATGAACTGTCTTATAATTCTTTGTTTCAATCTATAAATTTCTTTTTCTTTTTAAAAATATATATAACCTAAACCTTTGTCATGAGTGATTATATTGGTAAATTCAAATGCCAAAGAGTGTCTCCTACTTCCCAGATGGACGAGGACTCCAGCTAGACTCCCTCCGGCGAAACCCCTACCCTCTGGCCAAAATAATTTCTTCACCGCCTCCTATAAATAGGGTTCTCTCTCTCTCTCTCACACACACACACACACATATATACATTGGTCAACCCCCACGGTGCAACTGTTGTCGCATCAAACCTACTGCTTCATACTCATTCCTTGCTGATGACGGTGGCAGACTTTTCACAAAAGCACAAATTCAAGAAGATCTACATTAAAAAGCTTCTTGATATCCTAACCCTAATATTTTTTGCCCAATCTTTGAACCACTGTTTTCTTGTCTTCAGAGAAGGAATAGAGAAATTGGGACCAAAACTCAAACGAAGAAAGGGATAGATGACCTGATTTTTGTTTATTCACGTAGTTTGTTATCTTAATTTACTATGATTTCTTAAGTAGATATGAATTGGATCAAATATTGAAATTTATTATTAATTTAATAATTTTAATAAAATTATATCATTACATTAATAAAATTGATCAAATATTCAAATCTTAATAGTATTACAATTTTTATTATTAAGCTTGAAATCATCAAATGTGGAGTGCTAACAAATTTTTGCGTTCATCTAATTTAATATAGGGTTAATTACAAATTACACTCTAAAAGATCGTTTGAATCTTAATTTGTACTCTTAAATATAAAAATCTCAATTTACACCTTCAAAAATAAAAATTTGTATCAATGTGCACTCTCAAAGATCAAAAATCTCAATTTGCATCCTTAAAGATAAAAATTTATATCAATGTGTACCTAAAACTAAATTGATAAATTATACCTAAATCTCCTTATATTTGTTACTTAATCATTTGGACACCTTCATATTTAGAGTATTACTCTTACATCTCATGACGTTTGTGTATGTGTAACACGTAAGCCCTTTTCGTTGATACTTGTTAATATAATCGTTAAAAAATATGATTTTATCATAATAAAAAAATTAAAAATTCATATTACATTTTATTTTATGGGTCTCACATACTTTAAAGTTCAAAATCAATCTTACCATTTGAATGTCTAATAGAATAAATGGTTGCACATTGAGTGATATATTGCATTGGATATAAAAAATATTATATAAATATCTACATTCTATTGGACATTCAAATGGTAAGATTGATTTTGAACTTTAGAGTATATCGAACCCATAAAATAAAGGGTAATATGAAATTATAATTTTTTATTAGGATAAAATTATATATTTTTAGCGGTTATATTAACAGATATCAACGAAAACGGGTTACACGTTACACGTACACAAACGTTATGAGATGTATGAGTAATATTCTAAATGTGAAGAGGTCCAAATGATTAAGTGACAAGTATGAGGGGATCTAGATATAATTTATTAATTTAGTTTTAGGAGTACATTGATACAAATTTCTATATTTGAGAGTGCAAATTGAGATTTTTTATCTTTGAGGTGCACATTGATACAAATTTCTATTTTGAAAGAGTAAATTGAGATTTTTGATCTTTGGGGGTCTAAATTGAGATTCGAACTATCTTTCAGAGTGCAACTTACAATTAACCCTTTAATATAATCATTAGATTAACGATGGACCCAATTAGACATTAGAACTTGATTTCGATTCTATAGCTAAAATGAAATTATATCATTAAACCAACAAATTAAATTATATTTTTAAATCCCAATAACATTACTCTATCATAAAAAAAATTTTACACAATCTCTCTTATTTAAAAAAAGAAAAAAAAAAGAAAAAAGTCTTAACAGTTTTTGCAAATAATACAAATATTTCGGTCCCATATAATAATGTTGAAAGCTCTTTCAGCTCAATTTAGGGATAATGATATTTTAACTAATATTTTTTACCAAAATTTTCATTTTAAGTACTTGAAATGAAAAATTTGATAAAAACTTGGTAAACCTAACAATAATATTTCGGAGGAGGGCCCAGGCTCTTGGTTTTGGGAATTTTCTCTCCCTTACTATGCATGCTAATCATGGAAATCTTACAAAAGTTTGGTATTGAATTCTTTCTACCCGCAATGTAAGAATAACTGCCGGACCCTAATCAACTACGGTCGGAAAGGCTTATGAAATTACGTGGACACTTCACAGACCAACGTTCAATACCACTGGAGTTTCCAATGCGACGAACTATATCTGCATGCTGCAAATGGAGTAACCCTCGGAAACGGGAATGGAAACAGGAACGGGAACAGGAACGACCCAATAGACGAGTATTTTTGTCCATTTCTTAAGAAAAATGTGAAATAATTGCCGGCGGAGAATACAAGTGAATGCGAGTTATGCAGTTTATGATGAGTCTTCAAAGCCATGGGTTGGAGAGCTGTTTTGGGCTAACCAGGGAGTAGCTGCCAGGGGCGGCCGAGCTGTTTTGGAGCCTAAAGCGATGATGTTAAGCAGGTTTCTTTTTTTTTATTTATCATTATTATTAATATAATTTTTTATTTAATTATTTAAAATTCAAAATTACTAATAATTTTTTTGTTTGTTCTTCATGATCAACAATTATTATATTATATTTTCGACTATCATTATAAAAATTTTATTTTTTATTTTTTCATCATATAATTTCAATATCTTCTAATTATTTAAGATCTATCACTTGTTTATTTCAAAATTTTCACTTAAATATTTTGCTATTATTTTATTACTAATGATAAATTTATTGAGAGATCCTTTTTTTAATGATTTAATAAATTTTTCTATTTTTCTCTCTTTTTTTAAGTTCCTTATACCTGAATTGTTATTTTTTAGTGGCCACAGTTTTTTGACAATCCAATTTTTTTTATAAATCAATCACATACTCTCTATTAAAAACTTAATAAAAATCAAAATTATAAAAAAAATAACATTTATAAATTGATTGAAACTATATTTTGTACAAAATAACATTGAAAAAGAGAAAGTGTGAGTATAAAATAATATACTAGGGCTGATTTTGATGACTTTTGTTGTGTAAATTAAAAAGGTGGTCACAAGCCAAAGGTGAGAGAGAATTCTTTATTTTGTTTTTAGTTGGACATAAAAATTAATTTTTTTTGTGTGTGTGAGAGAAAGACATAGAAAGAGAGAGGGGGGTTGATGTTTTAAAAGGAGAGACATAGGAGAGAGAGTGTGTTTGATTGATATAATTGATCAGTTAAAAAGAGTAATTAATGGTATTAATTATTGACTTATTTATTTTTGCTTGTGACAGTTAGATACATTTTTTTTTGGTTAAAATTTCATGTTTTTAACTAAATGGGTAGGGGTGTCCATGGGCCGGATTATCCACGGGTCTCGTTACTCGGTCTGAAGTCCAATAGTTGGTCCGCCCAAATCCAATATCTATATAATAAGATAGGTAGGTGTTTGAACTTATGGGGGGTATATTTACCCCACCAAATTTCACACGCCCATTACACACTTTTCCTCCCAAATTTCACAAACTCAACACAAATACTCCACAACACATAGCTACACATACTCCAATACACACTCACTACACACACACATATATTATATATACACTCCAGCTGTACACATACTCCAATATACGCATAGTGTCATAGTTTAATATTCAGTGACTTCAGTCACAGGTGTCGCTAATTCTTAAAAAAAGAGCTTGAGTTTACCTCCAAACCCATTACCCGGCCCAAGAGCCCGCCTGCAAGCCCAACCCACCCACCCACCATTCCTTGGAAAAAAAGTTATATTTTTAGACAATTAAATTTAAAACTTTGAAACAAGTCTTCAACTATCGAAATTTGAAGTTTTAAAAATTTAGATATTATAAATAATATATTATTTTTTTTCTATATATTAAACATATAAGTTTTAAATGATATAGTAATGCAAACGACTGATAAGTTAGTAAATGTCAACTTAGTTGAGATTTATTCATTATATTGGATGTAGTTCATTATTTTATTTTTATCCATTTTGAATTTATTTTTGATTCAAAAATATAATTTACACAAATATTAAGTTACAAAAATATTCATTATTTTTAAATAAATATGTATATAAAAAAGTCCGCAAGTAGGCCCGCCCAATAGACTCACGGGTTGGGCTCACGGGTTGAACTTACACTACCCAGACCCAGCCTTAAAAAAAAAATTTCGAAGGCCTAGCCTGGCCCGGCTCTTGGACACCCTTATAAATGGGTTATGAGCCTTTTACTTTGGTATGCCACAAACACTTTTGAGTCCAGTTTTGTTAGAAATCTTTTGTTAGTTTGAACTACTTAGAATTTTTTTGCTTGGACTCAATTTTATTTGAATTTAATTTTTTGATTTGGATCATACTGAAAACTTATAAAAAATGGGACCTTCATTTTAAATGAGACCTAAATTGATCGTTTCTTCGGCTAACTTATAGGGCCGGCCCAGGTAGGTGGTCAATTTTGCGAATCATGCGATCATAACTTTCCTTTTCTAAGAGCGTACAAATTTGTTTTTGCCAAGTAAGAAAGTTCATGGCATTTTGTATCCTAAACTTGTCTCTACTTTTTTTTTTAATTTAATTTTCTTTGATGCTAGATTTTCTTTTATGGGTCTGAATAAAACTTATTTTATGTAAGTGAATCCCTCGTCTATTTAATGTAGACTTAAAAAAATTGAGAGAGAAAGGGGATTTTCTTACGTATAAATAAGTATTTTTATTTTGGAGAATAAGGCCACAGGCTGTATTGTGTCTGGGTGGTGTAGTCGGTTATCACGCTAGTCTCACACACTAGAGGTCCCCGGTTCGAACCCGGGCTCAGACACATTTTTTCCTTGCTTTCCAGTTTTGTTTTTGGAAACTTCTGATATTAATTCTCTTATATTTCCATAATGATGCTACTTGGACCTAATTTATTGACCAGATCATTCGTAACTATTAAATTGACAATGAACCTCATAATTTGTTGAGACTGCAAACAATTAGATCAACAAATTATATTATCAAATTAAGTCCAAAAAATATTATTATTGATATTTCCAACCTTTCTATCAGAAAAAATCCCCTTGTCTCTCCATCACCTGTTCAAAAAATGGGTCAAGGAATCTTGTCTTATGCTAGCTATCTATTTTCTTTAGGATTTATTTTGACTATGATACCCAAAAAGAAAATTTTGGTATTATACTTCTATTTATCACATATGTGATCACTTCTATCATATTTGTGAGTTCTTTTATCACTATTGTGATACCTAAAAAATGGTAAAAATTGATGATGCACAAAATAGTTTCGTGTAAGATAAAAAATCGAGTGTGTGATAATGTGTAATTAATAGACAATAAATAAAACAATCAATGACAGTAATGTAAATATTAAGTCAACACACAAATATATAGTAGTTCAGTCAGGGTGACTTACTCTAATTTCGGAAATGACAACAGTGGCCGGTGGCTCTTTATTGGTGAATAAGGTAAGAGAGATGTGCTCCGAGAGGTACAATAGTTAGGAGAGAGAAAAATTATGTGTGTGGAGAGAGTGTGGTAAGATGCCAAGATGTCTCATCTTATGTAGAGAGAGAGCTTATAATTTATAGGCATGATGAGACGATGACGTGAGTATGAGGGTATTAATTTTCGGAGAGGATAGTTACAAAAAGTAAATACAATTAAGGTAACCTTGATCTTCGAGAGTGTGTATCCTGACGATCTCTTTCCACTCTCTTTTCTTCACGGACTTCTTGGACCTTGGACTAAGTCGAATTAAGTAACTGGGCTTGACCCGCCTTTTAACTGATATGGGTTTACTTGGTTTATTGGGTTAGACCCAGGTAGATTTGGGCTCGTCAAAAATAGTTTTCACAAAGAGTAATAAAAATATCTACAAATGTAATAAAAAAACACTCATAAATGTGATAAATTTTTTTGTACCAAAGACAAGTGATAAAATAACTACCATAAATGTGATAAAATCACTCACAACAGTGGTAAAAATACTCACAAAAGTGATAAATTTTTTGGTAGTAAAATGACCTACAAGAATTATAAAAATACCCATTGAAATGGTAAAAATTAGAAATACGGTACTAAATTTATTTCTTCAATACTATAGTCAAGTCCTTTTCTTTATTAAGCCTTTGATAGCCTAATACACGGACCAAACCAGCTGATTAATGGACAAGATAATCTTCATGGCTTGATTTTACTCAATTTTTTTACACCATAATTCTCTTATTTTTTATCCCACTTTTATTCATTTATAATATTTCAAAATTTTTTTATTATGTCAACTGCCACACTTTTGAGTTCTATTTTTGGTCCCATTTTTCTAATAACAGTGTTATTTATACTTAATTTATTGACATAATTTACTATAACATTTGGATTAATTGGGGATCCCATCAAACCTTAAAAGTTAATGTTGATCCAATGAAACTACATCATTAAGTCAACAAATTATTTCAAAATTTTAGGTTTAAATAGTATTATTATTATTATTATTATTTGTTTTTATCAGCATTACTTTTCCTTTCCTTTTCCTGTTCCATGAGAAGCACATGCTATAACCGACCAAAGATCAATCATTGGCATCTTCCCCGTGGTATATGGCTTTAATCCTTCTAGATTACGTTTAGAACTCTTTTTTTTTTGTTTGGGTGCTTCAACTTTTTATAAATTAAGCTTAGTATACGATTCTCTATCACTTTTGACTTGGTTTAACCAACATTATTTGGCCCCTAGTGATTGTTATGTTGGATCTGAAAAGATAAACATACGATACACACAGCTGGCAAGCTCTCATTGTTGATCTTGGAATCTAAATTCTGGGAAGTAATGAACTGGTGATCATATGCTTATAAGAGAGAGTTCCACAAGCAGAGTCTTTTGAGATTCTCTGGAAATGAAGAGCAAGAAGATGTGCTTTTGCATTCCTCTTCGTATAAGAGGAGACTCTAATCACCGGTCGGAGGTGTCTAGTCGGAAAAGTAGGGGAAATGTTATTAGTAAGGGTGGCGTTGATGGTCATCATGTTGGATCCGGACATGGTGGAGCTACTACTAATACTGCCGGCAACGACACTGCAGGCATGGCTGCGGTGATGATAAGCGCGGCGGCGATATCTGATATGGGTGGCAGTGCATGTGGAAGTTCTCATGGCGAAGGCGGCGGCGGCGGTGGTGGTGATGGCGGGGGTGGTTAATTAAGTGATTGGTGCTTTTACAAGTTTGTTTTCGATACAAGAGAGAGCCATATTTTTTATGTTGAATAATAGTAGTGTTGTTCTCTCCTAGAGAAACATATCTTACCTAATTTTTATGTAATTTTAGCTAATTTTTATGTAATTTTATCTAATTTTTTATGTTGAATAATAGTAGTGTTGTGCTATGTTCACTCTTTTATCTAATTTTTTTATTGTGTTTGTAGTGATTTGATGCTGTTTATATATATATGTTTTCATTGTGTTTCGTCGCATATATTGTTCCTCCATGATTTATGTTAGTGATGAAAACTTTGGTATGTGTCTATGCCATGGGCCTTGCTTGATAAGCTTGACAAAATATCTATCTAATATTTTAATAACTTAAATTTAAAATATAAAAAAACACAACAATGATCAAAATTAATTTAATTTTTATTTACTTCGGCCAACTGATACAAAATTTATCCCAATACTAGACAATCAAATCAATACATTCTCTGATACCATAATTCCACTAATTTATACATACCTTTCTTATTTATTTTTTTTTTCACTTTAATTTTAAATTACATAGTTAAACACAATAAAAAACACTACATAATTATATATATTTAAAATATAAATATTATACAATCAATGCTCGATTTTTAATTTTACAGAGAGGTAGTTCCAACAAGGATACTTTGCAATAACTCATTTTATCCAAATTCAAGCCCCAGCACCCCACCTATACCTCCAATTCCATTACCGTTGTTGGATGTACGATGGGGTGGGGAGCAGTTCGTTACAAAGGTTAGACGGATTTTTATGTAATTTTTAAAATTTTGGAGTATCTCATGTAACTTGACTAAAACAGTAGGGGTGTCAATATAATTTATGAACGCTATTTAAGAAAGATCAAGAGCCCCACCGGAACTTTCTTTGGAAGACGTTTGTTTATGATTAAGAATACAATTGCAGCAAAAGAGAGAAAGAGAGAGTCTAATTGAATCACATTAAAGAGGAATTTTGTGTACAATCTACTTCTCTTATCTTTTGTTTCATTTTTTTTCAGCGGTTTATCCGGAAGACCTATTAGTATTGCTGCGAAAATTGTTGTGCCAAAAGAAACTTTGAGGGATATGCTATGATTCTTTTGTTAGTGATGGCAGGCCCAAGGGTGAACTAATGCTATAAGTCTAACTTAAATTAAGAGTCCAATTTCAAGAGATTTAGCGCTTAAAGTGGTCTACGCCGATCAAACTTATTAGGTTCGAGTAGCTACATAAGCAGGAGAGCATGCAAAGGTTATTAAAGAGTCTTTTCCTAATCACCTTGGAGTAAAAGTCATTTCAAGAGCCTCCTCCTAACCACCTTGGAGAAAGGGTCATCTAAGAGCCTCTTTCTAGCCACCTTGGAGTAAGGGTCATCCCAAGAGCCTCCTCCAAGCCACCCTGGAATAAGGGTCATCCCAAGAACCTCCTCCAAGCCACCCTAGAATAAGGGTCATTCCAAGAGCCTCATTCATGTCGCCTTGAAAAAAGTCAACTCTCACCTCATCTTTTGACCAAGTCCTATGGAGAGTATTGTAACTGTTTTGCCATTTGAGAAGAGATCGCCACCTCCTCTGGATCAGTTATTTAATTACTATTAAGTTGCTCCAATCCGTTATGATCTCCAGATTAGTTATTTAATTACTATTAAGTTGCCCCAATCCGTTATGAGGCGACTATAAATTTTAAGCTCCGCCAACACTTGGGGCGCATCAGACTCAATCGAACACATCTCCCCTTTCCCTCTCATAGCTTGTAACTCTCTACTCTCCCTACACACTTGAGTTAATAAAATACCCGACGACCCTAACCATTCAAAGTGGGCGTAGGTCACGTCGACCGAACCACTATAAACTTTGTCTTGCTTTTGTCTCTATCCCTCACTAATCAATTACTGCATTTTTTACTATTCAATTGACAGGTGATGTACAAATCAATTTGTGTATCATCAGTTTGACGCCGTCTATAAGAATGATAAAATTCTCACCTAATTACCTTTCTTACTGTACCAATGACGATCACCACCAGATCCATAAATCAGGCTGAAGACAATCCAACACGAGAGGAAGAGGTTGCTCATCCACAAACTAATCTCGTTCCGAATGCACAACAGATACTAGAAACAATGCAGCAACTTATAGCTCAGAACCAACAGATTTTGCAACTGATGCTCACTGGACAACAAGGAGTAGCACAACTTGTGATACCCCAAGCCAGAGGAACTCCACGCCCTGTGCGTCAAGGAGGTCCCCACTTGGGTGCCCTCTTGGGAACTCCCTTGGGCGCCTCATACAAGGGAGCCCATCGTGAGAGACCTTCACCTCTACCTCAAACTCCCTTTTCTGGAGATCCCTATTTTCAAGAGGATGAGGGTGAGAATTAAAGTGTGGAGCATGAGAGAGCCATTTTCATGACAATTCCAAAGGAGCCCCAAATTACTAAGACAAAAAAAATCAAAGAAATACAAAATCAATTGGGCAACGTCTTCAATGCCATGAAGGCACAAGGACCAGAAACCATGGACTACCTTGTAAGGCGAATTGACACACCTTTTGTGCCATATGTGGCAAACTACCCTCTTCCCCAAAGTTCAAAATGACATTTATAGAAACTTTTGACGGTACAAAGGACCTACTTGATCACCTTAAAACCTATCAGACCTTAATGCAGTTGCACAACGTCTCCGACAAAATTATGTGTAGGGCATTCCCCACTATCTTGAAGGGATCAAGCGACAATGATTTGTCAAACTCACCCCGGCCTCCATAGGCTCCGTCGCCGAACTAAACAGGTTATTTGTAGCACAGTTCATTGGTGGACGCCACCAGCAGAAACCTGCCACCCATCTGCTCAGCGTAAAACATGATCGAGAGGAAAGTCTGAGGAGTTACCTCTCTCGTTTTAATGAGGAGGTCCTCCAAATTGAGGAGCTCAATAACAAATTCACCATGACCACCTTTCTGGGAGGCCTCCATTCATCGAATTTTCGTTTTTTAGTAAGGAAGCGACCACCAAAGAGCATGCCAGAACTATTGGCAAAAGCTCAAAAATATATGAATGCTGAGAAAATCAACAGGTCCAAGCGAGGTGAATCTTCTTGCGGATAGCCAAATACTTGGCTTTTGCACTGCTCTCAAACAGGTAGCCTATTTATTCAACTTAGCGGCTCTCTCGCAGGTCGTCAAAAGCTTCGCCTCTGCACTGCTCTCAAGTAGGAAGCCTATACCTCCGGCTTAGCGGCTCTCTCGCAGGTCGCCAAAAACTTGGTCTCTGCACTGCTCTCAAACAGATAGCTTATATATCCCGGTTAGCGGCTCTATCGTGGGTCGCCAATAGCTTGGCCTCTACACTACTCTTAAGTAGGCAACCTATATTTCCAGTTGAGCGATTTTCTCGTGGGTTGCCAAAAACTTGACCTTTGCTCTGCTCTGAAACAGACAACCTATACCTCTAGCTTAGGGCTCTCTCATGGGTCGTCGAAAGCTCGATCTCAAAAGGTGCAACTCTCACACGAGCAATCCTCAAATTCTATCTTTACTCTCACGCAAGCAGCCTACCTCTCTCTCTAGGTAATCATGTTATATATATTTTTTGATGTTGAAATAACATTATTTTTGCCATCTCTAGACGCGTTTTTGAAACTAAGGCCATCTATAACCCACGGGCCTCATCCATTGGGCACGTCGGCTCGTTGCCGCAGCACTCCCGCACTCAACAACTAGCGCAAATAAGGCCTATTAGCTCTTGTCCCCAAATAACGCTCCTCCATCGCGATCAGTAAAATCGCCACTCAAGCGGCGCCCAACACAGGTGCCCAACATCTCTCAGGCGCCCAATCTGGATGCCCAAAAGCTGTCTACTCGCCCAAATCGTGCGCTCGATTTCCTACTCACTATTTTGACCTTAAATTTTACTCCGTTACTCCAAATGAGGCTAATAATATATCAAATTGAAGCTATCGGCGAGCCCTACAAGATGTTTTGGCCTAAAACCAATTTTTTCAAAAAAAAAAATTTGTGCGTTCAACTGTTTGCTTGCCCAAACTGTGCGCCCAATTTCCTGTTCCCTATTTTGACTGTAACTTTTGTTCCGTTTCTCTAAATGGGGTTCATAATATATCAAATTGAAGCTTTCGGTGAGCCCTATAAGACTTATAACCTTTGGTTGTGTTTGATACTGTTAAAAATCCAAAAAAAGCCTAAAAACAGATATTTTGGCCTCTTGAAATTTTTTTAGTTGTGCGTTCAACCGAATGCCCTCCTCCCCAAGTTCCATTGGACACAGGGCATTGGGGGCAAATGATGGGCCAGGGCCAAGGGCCCAATTCATGCTATGAGCCCAGTTTAAATTAAGAGCCTAACTCCAAGAGATCCAATGCCCAAAGTGGTCCACGCTCGGTCAAACTCATCAGATTCGAGGAGCTACATTAGCAGGGGATTATGCAAAGATCATCCAAGAGGCTCTTCCTAGCCATCTTGGAGTAAGGGTCATCCAAGAGGCTCCTCCTAGCCACCTTGGAGTAAAGGTCATCCAAGAGCCTCTTCTTAGCCACATTGGAGTAAGAGTCATCCCAAGAGCCTTCTCCAAGCCACTCTGAAATAAGGACCATCCTACGAGTCTCATCCACGCCACATTGGAAAAAGTCGACCCATGTATCTGCCTCGTTAGTTGAGAAGAGGTCACCACCTCATCCGGATCAACTATTTAATTACTATTAAGTTGTCACAATCCGTTATGGCTGCCAGATTAGCTATTTAATTACCATTAAGTCGCCCCAATCCGTTATGAGGCAATTATAAATTATAAGCCCCGCTAACACTTGGGGCACATCATACTCAATCGAGTACATCTCCTTTCTCCTTCTCACAACTTGTTACTCTCTGCTCTCCCTACACACTTGAGTTAATAAAATACCCGACGACCCTAGTCATAAAAGTGGACGTAGGTTACTTTGGCCGAACCACTATAAACCTTGTCTTGCTTTTATCTATATC